GTTCCGGCTGGGTCTCCGCACGCGACTACTTCAATAAACTCTACTTTACAAACTTACCGGCCAGAGTCTCGATGCTCCACACGGCGGACTACATCTTCGGCAAACGGTCTCAAGCCCTCGGACCGCTGCCATCTCCCAATGACACCGTCTCAATTCAGCCCTTGTTCCAGCCTTTTCTCCGGTTGCCTCCAGAGCTTCAAGAGATGATACTCATGTATGCCACCGGACTAACACGGGACTATGATTTGTGCCACGGTGCACTCTCCCGAACATCTGGGTCAGCCGAACCACCCATCAGTCTCTCCGGCATGTTTCGGATATCCCCACCCATCACCGCTACAATGCTACCTTACATCTTCCACCGCACAAACTTTCACTTTGGCCTCACAGGAACCACAAACTTCCTCTGGCAATGCGGACCCGGCAACCGCCGCCACATCCGACGTCTCGCTTTTCACTTCGGGCACAGTGCACTGCTGCATTGCATGAGATGGTTATCACCAGATGAACTATACGAACTTTTGGAACCCCCACATCAAAACTACACACAACCCGGTCTACCACGATTTTGGAGATGCCAGTTACGAGCGCTTGTGAAGGAAGTACATCTCCTCGAACTCACGATTGACGTCAAGGGAATCCCCCAATCGGAAATTGCAATGATGGTTAGAATAGTAGTGGCAGCGTTTGGCAGTGTTGAGCGCGTCAAGATTATAGAAACGAGCTTGCGCGGGTCTACCAAAGTGCTTGCGAAGGATGATGAGAAACTCGTGGGGTTGGGAGGCGAGTCGTGGAGGGAGATGAGTAAGGGGTATGTGGAGAGGTATAAGAGGCAGTGGCATAGCTTGCATCTCAAGAAGGGATTAGGAGAGATGAGCATGGAGGAGTTGGATGGGCTGATGGATAAGAACAAGGAGTTTTTTGATAGTTGATGTTTCATCGAATGGTTTTCACGGGTTTTATGAGAATTTGGTCTTGAGCATTCAAAATTATTAAGTTACAGAATTATGAGCCTTTGCAGGTAGCGTTCGGCACGGGAATTCTTGCTGTTCATTGGCCGTATTGGGGGTGTTGGGGGTCCATTTCTTGAGCAATTACACAGCACTGAGCGAATTTTTTTTATTCAGTGAACATTCAGCGTTGTCTTTCAGTCAAAGTGTGATGTGGAAGCTTGCATGGGTTTCCTCATGATGGTCTCAGCTGGGCTTCCATGCAGTACAAGTCTTTCCGTCAGATCCGAACATTACGAGAGAAAAATGTCAAGGTAGCACTCTGAAAGCTGTGCTATCTCATTACTACCACATCGCCTAGACTTTCACCTATCATTTCTACATTGCCTAGAGAGATTTCGGCGCTACACTATCAACTTTGAAGCAATCAAGATTCATACAACAATAATGTAACGGACACGCGTGGGGTATACGAATATGCAAGATTGGCAGAATCGCGGCGTAATAGTCGAGCCATATGCAATGCAAGTGATACGTACGTGTATGAGAGCACCGAGCTCAGTTACGCAACTTCATTAGGTACAGGGATACATGAAATCATACGGTGAAGGTGACATAGTAAGTAGACGCTTCAACATGGCAAAATGACGTACCTTGACTAGATACCTTGGTATCCGGAATCCTACGGAGATATTGAGCTGGTAAGCAGACGTTTCAGAGTGGCAGAAAGACAGGTTCTGAGAGGTTGAACAAGCGAATCGAATATAAGCAGAGCAGTGACTATGCATAAGCTGTAGGACAGTTAGGCTACAGCAATCGAACCGAATACGAGCTGTAGTTTTGTAGAGGCTTTGAGAAGGTCAGGGTGTGGAAATCGAGTCTAACATGAGTCGTGGCTTTGCAGTGGCTCTTGCATGGTTCTATGTTGGATCCGAGAGGATTAGAAGGCAGCAATCGAGTCTAGTATGGATCATGGCTTTCCAAGTAAGGGTTCCGAAAGGATCCGGCTACTTCAATCGGATCGGATACGGCTCTTAGCTTTGCAGAGGTTCTTGCATGCTTCTATGTCGGATCTGGGACGCTAAGGATACAGTAATAGAACTTCATGCGTAGCTTTGCGGGGGATGTTAGAAGGTTGGGCTACTGTAGTGCAATCGAATACGAGCCCCAGCTTTACAGACGCCCTTGCATGGTTCTATGTTGGGTCTTACATCCACTACTACTGAGACAGTATGTCACTGGATGATACGAGCTCTCAGAATCTGGGGGCGGGAGATTTAGTACTCTAGAATGGGCTAATTTAGGCAAACTGATGAAGGTGGAGAAAACGTGCGTGAACTTGTTGTATTGGAGCTACGGGAGAAGGGAGAATATCTATGGTGCGCGCACGGAGCAGCTGACTAATCAGTGCCTGGCCAATCAGAGCACGGGAAGCCTGATTCACCGTGAATACTAGTGAAGGCTCTCACCGCGTCTCGACACACCCCCACAGGACCTGATAGTCCTGCTCTATCCACCTTTGTTGTAGTCCTTTGTTTCGATAGTTGGAGTCGTAAGGCCTAGCTGTTGTAGATACCTGCTGTGGGCTTGTCGTTCAAGAGGTTTCGTGAGGCCGTCAGCAGCCATCTCATGAGTTCGTACATGCTCTACGTAGAGGTTGCCGTCGCGGACTTGATCCTTGATGTAATGGTAGTAGATATCGACGTGCTTTGTACGCTCGTGATGACCCTCTGAGTGTAGTAGCTGTATAGATGGAGCGTTGTCTCCGTAGATAAGGATAGGATGGGTATCTGTACCGTTGTAACCGAGCTGGTGTAGCAGACGGTACAGCCAGGTAGCCTCCTTAGCGGCGTAGGTAAGAGCAACGTACTCAGCTTCAGTTGTTGAGGTTGTAACTAGCTTTTGCTTGACTGACTTGTGACAGATAGTACCTCCAGCAAGTTTGAACAAGTATCCGGAGGTTGATTTGCGGTCCTCGCCGTCAGCAAATGAGGCGTCGCTGTAGCCATGTAGGTGTAGCGTAGGATTAGTGTTGTTCTTGTTGTCATCGTATGATGTCGCATACATGGTGATAGGCATGCGTGCGTGTGGAGATGTAGCTCGATAGCTCATTACAAGAGATTTGAAGGTCTTGAGATAGTCGATGATCTGGATTGCGTACTCGTAGTGTTGTTGAGTTGGATTGCTCATAGCGCGGGCGAGATAGGCGACGTGGAAGGATATATCGGCTCGCAGTTGGGTTGCTGGATACAGCAGCTTGCCAATAACCTTTTGGTAGTTCTGAATTTGTTGTTGAGTTGCAAGATCAGTTGGAGATCGCAGCTTCAACTTGAGTACTGAGGTATCAAGCGGCGTGTAGCGAGGGAGCGCGTGTTGACGACTATACTCCTCTACAAGCTTGTCGACATATGACTCCATTGAGATCTCGATGAGTCGGGATGGTCGTGAGCGTCGGATCCGGAGACCTAGGTAGTGAGAGATTGGTCCTAGATCTCGACACTTGTACTTCTTGTATACAGCCTCTTTGATCTCCTTCATGCGTTGCTTCGTAGCTGTGATGAAGATGATATCATCAACATACGCAAGGATAAGACTGCCGTCTAGGTGTTTGAAGACACATGGATCTGACTCTAAAGGATCTAAGCCGATACCCTTGAGATAGCTCGATAGCTCATTGTACCAGAGGCGTGGTGAGCGGCGCAGGCCGTACAAAGCTTTGATAAGCTTGGCTTTGCGTCCGTCTGGCAGGCGGACATAGACTACTTCGTCTTTGTCTAGTTTACCGTTGAGAAAGGCGGTAACAACGTCTGCTTGCTCGCATTCTAAGTCTTCGGTTGCGACAAGGGCGAGAAGGACTTTCAGTGTAGTTGCGCGAGCTACTGCAGCGTAGGTTTCGCGCCAGAAGTCGGTCTCCTGCCTATTGCCACAGACAACCAGTCGAGCCTTGAAGCGCTCGAGTTGTCCATCGTCCTTGACTTTGTATTTGTATACCCACTTAGTAGGCAGTAGACTCCGCAACAATCAATTCAATCCGGTCACTCTCCTAGACCCACTTACCTATCTAGGTAGGGCTTAAACTCCTATAGGTAACTACTAGGCTTAAAGCGGTAATCAATCAATCCAATCTGAACCTTCTAGGACCCACTTAATTGATTGTTGCGGACTGTGGTAGGCAGGGCGTATACGTCGGGAGGGATCGTGGTTGTGGTCTCCCATGTGCCATTCTGGTCGAGTGATACGAGCTCTTCATCTTCAGCAGCGATCCATTGCTTGCTGTATGGATGAAGGCGTGCTGCCTTGCGTGTGGCAGGCTCAGGCGGTAAGTCTGTTGTTGTTGCCTCTGTAATTGCCGTAGCAAAGCAACGAGAGACTGCCGCGTATCGGTTGGGCGGTCGAGTGATGCGACGACGTCCATCGAGTATGTTACGGGCATCAAATGATGCACTGATCTCGTCGTGACGTGGAGCGTTTTGGGATGTATCCCGACGCTGAGGTGTTGCTCGAGCATTAGCAACCTCGTTAAGACTGTTATAGTTGTCAATGTCCGCGTCAAAGTCAAAGCTAGACTGCGCTTCAGCCTCTAGTCCGTCAAATACATAACCACTACCTTGCTCCGGGAGAGAGACTTCATGGTGTGGAAATGAAGAGGGATCTAGTGCTGGCGGTGGATCTTGGATATAGAAGCATTGATCCGGTTTGGTTGTAGCTGTGTCTTCTTGGACTACAGCTTTGACGTCGTGTTTAGGCCAAGCAACACTGCTCGTACGGTGTATGGACTGTGTGACTGGATCCCACATAAGGTAGATCCGTGATCCTTCTCGACCGACGAAGTACATCTTGACCGATCGTGGTTCGAACTTGGCGCTCTGAACTCGTCGCTGTACTGGTTGATGGACGTACCCAGCTTCTCCGAAGGTGCGGAAGGAGCATAGGTTAGGCACAGGGTTTGCAACCTTCATGTGCTCAAATAGCAGCTGTCTTGGTGTCTTACTGTCTAGTACAGCAGAGCTGACGCTATGGTTAAGGACGTCGATAGAGTACTGGGCTGCGTATGGCCAGTATGACTTAGATATGTGAGGCGCCGCCAAAATCATTGTGCGTGCTCGGACCTCCACTACGTAGTTGCTGGCTTCAGCGACTCCATTCTGGTGGGGTGTATAGGCGGTGGAAGGCTCGGAGATGATGCCTTTGTCCTTGAAGTAACGCCCAGTCGTCTGGTTGAGGAACATGTTGTCGTTGTCCATGTGAACGATCGACACTCGAACGTGGTGTTGAGTTTCCATCTTGTCCAGGTGTTGTATAAGCTTAGATGTGATTGCTGCTTTGCAGTCTGTGAAATCAATCCAGCGGTATCGTGAGTAGTCGTCGGTGTACAGTATCCAGTAGCGCTCACCGTTGACACCTTCGGGCGTCACTGGTCCAACGATATCGATATGAATACGATGGAGGAACGTGGTTGAGCGGGCTGGAGACCGTCGTGAGATCTGCTTCTTCGATTTGGATAACATGCAGGCCTCGCATGAGAATGCCTGTGTTGTAGTGAGACGTAGGCCGGTGGTGTTGGCGACAAGAAGCTTAAGAGCTTTGGGGTCGGCATGGCCAAACAGCTCATGGAGCTCTTGGAGAGTAATCTCGCGATAGGGAGCGAGTACACCTGTTGGGTTGGTGGTTGCGGCGGTTGCAAAGGCAAACGCGCGAGCTGCCTCAAGCTCTGTGTTGGCGAGGAGGAGCGTAGGGATCTTGTCGATCTCAGGTGTGAAGGCGATCTCTTGTTGTGATGGCATGAGGTACAGCTTGCTGTCCCAGCCGTGGTAATAGAGATTTTTCGCTCGTAGTTTAGAGTGGGAGAGGACTGATACAAACATGTCCGGAGCGTATAGCACGTTAGTGAAGGAGACCTTGTTGAGTACACCTTCTGACGTGACGACAGTGATCTGAATGGTACCTACCTGCTTAGCAGTAATAGGTCCGGCTCCAGTATTAATTGTAGCAGGAGCAGTGTCGTGTAGAATTTGGAACTTGCTGCGATCATTGCAGATGTGATCGCTGCTTCCAGTATCGATAATGAATCGTTGTTTGAAGTTAGAGGTCTCCTTGGTGAGACTCTGTACCTTCTCTGACAAATGAACCGTTGTAAAGGCAAAGCCTTCAGCATTAATAGCTGCGGCGTTGGTGCTAGTAGGCTGTTGTTTGCCTTGTTGTTGAGCTTGGCGCTGACGCCAGGCTTCAGTGGCGAGGTGAGGAAAGGTGTACCAGCAGTTATCACCTCCTCCAGTATGGTTGCAGTCGCAGTGCTTGCAGTATGGGGAGGTATTTGTAGGTCTCTGAGTCGCACCCTCAGAACCTCTACCTCGTCCGCGCTGGGCTCGCCCATTGCCTCGATTGCCGCGGCCACGGGTGGCGCTTCTGTTGGCGTCGTTGTTATCACCAAGAGGCTGACTGCGGTTGTTGTCACCCCCAGAAGCTCGGATAGACGTGTTAATGGTCTTGATTGGGTCGTCGCGGCGGGCCTCGTCAATGAGCTCGCTGCACATGCGATCGACGTTCAGAGTAACGTTGCGGCGCAGATCAGCGCGGCGATCGCGTCCGTAGTCCGGGTAGGCGTTGTTGATAGCAAGAATGAACTGATACACTCGAGCTTTGTTAGATAGCTTACAGTCTGCGATGACGTCAAGCTTTGCAAGTCCTGCTTTAAACTTGTCGGTGAAGTTGGCTGTAGAGGGGCAGTCTTGAGCTCTCAGCTTGAAAAAATCTGCCCAGATAGTACACTCTTCAGTGACGCCTTGTTCACGATAACGAGCTGTAATAGCTTCGTACTTCTGCCTCACTGTGGGCAGGTTCATGACGTTGTCCCATACTGATCTTGGTACTGTATTGAGTATAGCCAAGGTGAGAGACGATTCTCGGGAGTTGTAAATACGATAGAGCTCATAGTCTTTGTCGTACTGTGTAGTAACTTCTTTGTTGTGGGCTCGTACGCGTTGCTGAGCGTCAAGCAGAAGTTGTGGCGTGTTGAATGCCGATGACGTAGTTGTCGGTTCAGTTTGATAGTGAGGTGTTTCTGGGTATGTGACCATGTAGCTGCCGTCGAGTAGACCTCCGATAGAGTGAATATTTGCGTACAGCTTCAATGCTGCTTCCCAGTGGTAAGCGTTGCTACCATCTGCTTGTAGCTTTGGGATCGCGTCCATCGCTGTGGATGGCGCCATCGTGACTTTATCGTCGTCGTCGTCGCGCGAGTGACTGATGTTGTGTTCAACTGATCGGTTCTGCTGCTGCGGAAATCGCACCTCTAGAGCACTTTATCGTGATAGAGGAGGGCTCATAACCTGATGAAGGTGGAGAAAACGTGCGTGAACTTGTTGTATTGGAGCTACGGGAGAAGGGAGAATATCTATGGTGCGCGCACGGAGCAGCTGACTAATCAGTGCCTGGCCAATCAGAGCACGGGAAGCCTGATTCACCGTGAATACTAGTGAAGGCTCTCACCGCGTCTCGACACAAACGATCATCAAGAAGAGGGGTGCACACTCTTCTCGCAAACTCCCGTTGTATCTGGGGTAAGCGACGAGTCATGTTCTTGTCACGTCAGTCATGATCGGTATCACAGCTTTGTCTATTCCAACACGTCGATCAGTCTGGGCACTTGAACAACTCGCTGTACATATGCATATCTCCGGCTTTGCAGATCTAATGTTTCGGTGTGTTTTTTCGGCGTTTACTAGACTAGCGCATACAGGAGCGTCGATGTTGGTATGTTGGAGCCGAATTGTGCATGAAAGTTGCAGGTCATCGTCATCTTGTAGTCTGACATGTGGGTCATGGCAGTTGTTGGTATTTGTGGGTCAGACGTAGGGGACATTGTGAGGTTGAGGACAGGGATTATCGATGGTGAGCGAAATGGTGATCCACGTGGTTTCTTCAATCGAAGCTGACATCGCGAGGCTGGAACGAAGACGCTATTTTCTCGGGCCTTCTCTATACAACGTCTTACTCTACAGTACATTTACTGCGCCACATTTGCTCCTTTGTCATTGTCGGCATCTTCGGCAAAAGTGGCGCACGCGTTATCGAGGATTGTCGAATGGTTCACGTCGCGTGTTTATTTTTGTCCAAACGCGTCCACTCTGTGTTTACCCCACTATTAGACGGTCAGCCTCAGCCATTGAACATGACATCTACCCGCAAGTGTAACCTCGACAACAACGACCGGATGGCCAGCGATAATGATTCTATCAAATGTAAAACATGCGCCAGAGTTCTCGCAACAATCGCGCCTACTGGCCTGGCTGCAACAGCCTCACCGGGAACGAGCGAAGGTTGCGACACATGTCAGCAGTTTAGCACGCTTTATGATGCTGTGCAGACTGCGGACATGGACTGGACGACATATCAAAACAAGCGCGATTCCATCACAAAGTCATTTGCTCGGGAGAACTACAAGAGAGCGCACATGGAATTTCACAATTGGCTCATGACTGTCGAGGTGCCTACAGTATCCAAGAGACGAGATCACGAGACTTACACGGATGAGGACGAGGTCGAGCAGCAAGACCAGGGCACCAAGCGACGACATTCGCATTCACCGACCGTCCAGAAGTTCAGCGATACCATAGAGATGCCCGATAGACTTGCGCAACACCATCACAATATATCGCTTTCTCTCCGTCCATCGCCGAAGAGATCGCGGAGCATGGTATCTATATCAGGGCGCAAGCGACTCAAGTTCTCGGAGACAGTTGAATTTCCTGCCAGCTACCGGAGTAGTGAAGAGTATCATCGGCCCAGTGAGACATATGTTCGAGGCAGAAATGCGCCACCCGAGGGATCAGAGTATATGGATACGAGCGGTTCTGGCCAGACGTTTCTCAGGTTTACACAGATGAAAAAGGTGGGCGCGAAATGGGTTGAGTTGAGCGAGGAAGAGCTTGTAAAGAAGAAAGAGGGTGTGAAGGTTGCGGCAGAGAAGACGAAAGCGCAAGAGACGAATGGTGATATGGAAGGCGACTTGGGAAGGGACCAACAGACGTTGGCAAATGCTCGCACAACCAGATCAGCACGAAGAGCCAAGGAGACATTGGGCGCTGGACCGGCACAGATAAACATGACCGCAATCACTCAGGTTCGAAGTAGGAAGCCACGGAAGCCCAACGAGACATTGCTCGATGGAACATTGGACAGAGCCCAAGATGCTCCTAGTGATGTAGCTACTGCCTTACCCATACCCAATACCCACTTCATCGCGCGCGAAAGTCCAGACGCACCGGAAGATATCGGAGCCGGAGTACAGCGCCTAGAACGACAAACCTACAACGATTCAGAAAAGACAACCACCGAGACGAGGCACAATGGTGGAGCGAGCGATGCGGATGTCCAAGAGCACCACAAGGGCACTTGTAATACTAGCATAGTAGCTTGTCAGGGAGATGCGATTCATCACCGTACAGGAAATATCGTGATTGAAAGCGATATGCTGCGGGCTGGGCCAATGGGAAATGCATCTTCATGCACAAGCTGGGAAGATGCCTACATGGCGTTTGCCACTACTAGTGATCGCCCTGCAGCGGCGCAGATGGTGGACGAACAAGCCGCCTCAATCGTTCATGACGACACAGCAACCATGTCCAACACAGCCGACAATCAGGACTAAATCCACTCTCCTGAACGTCATTACGGCACGTCCGGAGGCTTACTGTCGGGCATCACTGCAGAATCCTCAAAAGCAGGAACAACAGGCTTTGAAGATGAGGCTGTCTCGACTTGAGCCACTCCGCGGAGCGGGAACATGCGCTTCCAAGAGCTAAGCACGCCCAAGCCTCGCGTGACATTAGAATCCCATGCCCGCAGACCCTTTCGCAGCGGCTTTTAGCGACTGTTCGTTACCAAGTTGCAGGACCCTGATCTCGCTCCCAGTGCTCCGCGGTGTCAAGGTCTCCAACGCTAGACGCAGATCCGGGAGAGAGATTCGGGATCGACGAGGCGGCAGAGGCAGCGAGTCAGAGTGCCGAGTGCTAGAGATCTAGGTAGCAACTAAGGTAGCAACTAGACAGTAAACCGACTCAGCATCCAGCATGGTGAATTTGAATTCATGTACAAGTGTTGATGGGAGGGCTGAGGTGTAGGGGTCGCATGGTGTAGGGCTACTCGAATTAGCATATGCATGGCGCGTGCGGATACCTGTGGTATGCCTAGCAGCGCCTGTCCCGCTACCGTGCCGTGCTTTACATAGTTCGGCATTTGATGCCGTCGCACCTATCAGCCAGCGGAACAAACCTTCCGGGACTCTACCGTACTCCTTTGCATATTACGTACTGTGTGACGGACAGCAATTGCGACGACTGGTGTGTGCGAAGGATTCTTTGACGTAAAGACATGTCTTGGAAATGACGATTTCCTGCGAGAATGTTTATCCTGATCAGCGCAATTGCACAAGCAAGATAGGCGGTGCCGCGTATAGAAGTGCGGCCAACCTTGGCCATGCACACCATAAGCGGCGCCCATCTTCTTCCTTGCATCCGGAGCTACTGACAAACCCCATGTGGTCAATATCGTTCCGAAGGGGCCCTAAACTAGCAATATGTCACGTCATAATGGCGTGAGGATACAGGGACCTGAGGATTGGTCTCGGAGACAATAAATCGATGGAGCCCCACATAACCATGGTCGATCTGGGGCGCTTTGGTTGGTGTGACGAGCGAGCTTGTCGGTTGGCTATGTCGATTCGAGTTTCTTGTTACAGTTATGGGAGCAATTGGCGGATTCGGAATTGACGGTCCGGAGTGGGTAGAGAAGGTTGAGAGAGAGTTTGAAGTTGTGAGTAGTCACGACATGGACACGTCTGTTCCAGTGTACTGTCAAATGCCGGCCATGATTGACTTGTACAATCCGGGTCCGCGATGCCAGGTCCCTTGTACGTGCTTATGCGCGAAATTCCCAGAGTTTTCCCGACAACGATGCTGGCTCACGTGTCTTGGAGGCTTCAATGCCCTTGTCGCGGTGATGCAGCTCCATGTAGTCAGGAACGGGTGTGGCGATCATGGTTATTATTTCCAGTGGCGTACAGGCGGGGAAACACTACCCAATGGAGTAGGATTGATCTTAGCGGAACGGCCGTTCCAGGAAGCGACATGGAGTGTAACGTGAGATTTTCTGCGTCGTGTGCCGATAGCCGGTAAAGGTTGTTTGTGCCCCTGCGGGAATCTGAGCTTGTCTCTCATGCTTGCCTGGTTTGGTCTGGACTTGTCGACCATGCGACCATGGGCATGCCGCCTATGTACATGGTATTTTGGCGACCGGATCGTATAAGAGTCGAGATATATGGGGGAGGCATAGGCAGTGGGCAAGAGGACACTGTGAGTTTTGTTCGGCGGGTTTGATCTCCGTGCGTCGCTCCACAGGCGACGAATTTGCTCACAAGTTCCTTTAGGGCCCATGGCATGTCACTCTTCGCTGGCCTTTGTTTGGAAGGTATCGAGATGAAGTGACGTCGGTCCTCGCTCGCCCTTGAACAGAATTGCGACTGAAGCTATCAATTCATGATACCGCATCAAGCATCACGTGTGCTCGGTAGGTGTCATCGACGACAGAGCCCAAACCCAAAATGGGGGCAGCACTACTCAGGACACAGGGTACGCGATACTCGCCCCTGGGTTGCATTTTCCTCACCGGTGCCGGGCTATCTCGAAGAGCACAATTCTGGCCGATACATGAGGCCGCCTAGTCACGACAGGTGGAAACTGGTGTCGCTCGTCCTGGCCAGATGAAACAGCTCTCGGGTCTAGGTCCTGGGACGCTGGGACGCTGGGGCGCGGATGCAGGATGGGTTGTGGAGCTCTCGCCTACCCTTGCACTTCTCTATCAACATTTGCCAACGTTGAGGCTCCGCAACAAGGGCTACCACGTGTCGTTTGATGACGAATACTGCCACGTCAACCTAGCTTATCCCATCGTCTACACGCGACAGACGCTGAGATAGAAGAGGCCTTCAGCTTGGCGCTGTGCCATGTCGGATTTACGTACGGTGCGGTCAAGTGCGGTGACGTCACAGCCATGTACTGCTAACCATGCGCCATATCAGCTGCAATACTGTACGCCAACTGCCCAACAGCCGTTTATTTGGAACGCCTAGCAGGTCCCCCGCTCGCAAAGTTCCGTACCTTGGTGGCGTGGCACATGTCAAGCAAGGAATGTGACTGCACGCACAGGCCACCGGTTCTATTCTTCCACGGCTCCTCCATCTTATCCGCATCCAGCTGGCTGGCATGCAGGAACCACGCGCAAAGAATTGCCCATCAAAGCGGCCCCAGGGAGATTCCGCCCGTTGGACTCCAACCTCCTGACACGTGCATCTGCCTCGCAACGACGTCCGTCCGCTGCCCGTACAGGGTATTCCGGTCAATACGGGCGTAAAAGGTGCCGAGCATGGCTTGCTGAGCACGCAGCGCTGAGCTGCCGAAGCTCGGCTATAATGGCATCCTCATGTTGCTTCGCGAGTAGCGTGGCGGCGCGTATGTGTGTCTACAAGTCAGGTGCGACTAAAAGAAATGCTCTGAGAGGTCGCTGAGGCCTGCCACTGGCGCCGAGTATGTACGGTGAGGACATGGCTTAGTGTGGACTCGCCTTTCTCACCTGCAGACTGCAGTGCGGAAAGTGCCATGTGTCTGGGGCATGGACTAGAACTATGTACTGTACAAATCCAGTACGGTGTACAGTACTGGTACGGTGCTTTCCGCCATCTTTCCGCATCTTGCTTGGTCTCGGTATCCCCGACTATTTCGCACCATAACTCAACCTCTCCCAGATCTTCAGCCATGGCCACGCACAGTCTCCACATATCCGCTTTGCCATGAGCGCTGGGTAGAGACTAGCATCGGCTCTTGATCGGCGGCCAGCATCTTTGATACCCGCAACGTAGAGTACGCGTGCGCCTAAAACATGTCACAACAAAAGGCTGGGCCCAACTCCCGGCCACGACGCCCACGTTATATGCACGTCGTTCACCATGCATTAAACCACCTCATTTATCGCAACCGCAAAAGGGGTAGTCTGCCACTGAAAGCACGTCCTTGTATCGTAGCCATCCGACACTGGCCACACGTGTCTCATCGCGCATTGCGACTCGCCATGTCACTTGACTTGATTGATTTCACAAAGCCAGACCATGTCGCCCTCCCACCACAAGCAAGACACGGAACTGCCGACTAGAATCATCACCTCACCCCATGCTCCGCACATGGACATGGCATCAGCAACTGCGCATACAGTTAGCCGATGGCTAAACCGCGGAGCCGCACACATGCACACTGCAACAGGCAACCCGAATGCCCACACCATTTTCTCACCCGCTCGCTAGCGGAATGCATAACAGCCTGCAGTAGTCTAGACTAGGCGCCGTTAAGCCTCACTAACCTGCAGCTGGAAACCTTCGAGAACAAGTTGAGAGCTGATACAGCTGCTCAACATATAACACTGCCATGCATAATAAAAGCCTCGCATGTGTATCCGCAATGTACTGTAGCTTTGCTGTGCGAAATTTGGGCCGCAGCCACCGTCCAGTCAAGCCAAATCACCGTCTTGGATGTCTTAGTGCAGTTGCAGCAGCGTTGCGGTGTAGTAGACCCGTGGGACGCCCCCATGCTCGTATTTGCAGCCATGCTTGCAGGGGCGGAGCATCCCATCTGAAATTCAATCTGGCATGATTATGGCGTCATAGATGCAACTCCCATTCGCCAGCAAGTCGCGCAATTACAGGTTTGCGCAAACGGAGTCCGGTTCACGGGATAGATCATCGCACCAAGCATATCTCTGACCCAAGCGCCCCTAGCCACGGGTTACTAGGATAGAGGCTAGAGGCTGGGATACCCCATCTACTATTCTACGACTCGTTACGAGGCCACACCCTCCCAGCCTCCCTCGTCTCTTCCCGTTCCCTAGCAACAAACCCTAAATCTGTCGCGCTATTCTTGTTGTTCCCACCCCTCCCCCCTCCCCATGGGGCCAAGAACGAAAAGACGGCGTCACCATATAGCTAGTAAGAACAGTACGCGTTGTTGTACAGTTTTGTACGCCAGAGCATGTCACCGACTAACAGCATAGTAATCTCACCATTACCCCTCGGTTGTTCTTTAATAGTATCACCGGCAACTTCGCGCGAAAAAAGCCTGATCCGATTTCATCTCTGTGCCCATGCCCCCCCATCCCACCCACACCCACACTCACACTCATCCGGAATCATGATATGCCGATCTTCGTTGCGCCGAAGCAACGCCCATTGCACCGCGGACAAAGGCCCCGAGGAACGAACCGCATAATCCCCCACTTGCCGGGGGTGGTTGGTTCAACTTGATTGGCTGAGTGTCACTGTCAATTGGAAAGTGTGGGTGTGTGGGCTTGCACACTCTCTCTCACTCACTTCGCTCCTCTGACAAGCCCAGCAAACCACAACGACCTGGTCAGACGAACCCATATACGCGTTTGGCTGACAGGCCCTCTCCTGCTGCGCTTCGTGTGCGTCATACGATTTCGGTTGGGATACCCCGGCCGTACGTGGTGCATATTTGTTTTAATCCGTTGCAATAGCGATTTTTTTGGCCCCCCGATATGCAGGGCAGCGCCGCACCGCTGCTTGGTGCTGCTCATGCTTCTAAATCGTGCGCTCACAAGGTTGGTGTTGCGTAGGTAGGGTAGGCTGGTTAGGACGTTTGGGCCTCTGGCTCGGTCACGAACCGGATCCGCATTGGCGGCGAATAAACTGAGAGTGGGGGAGGCCTTTTTTTTCTCGCTCTGCCCATGTCCTTGCCTTTGCTCTACGCAGTAAGGTCAAAACACCCGGCCCGTTGTAAATATGGTGCACGCACACCACACACGCTTACTCACTCTCTCGGTTGCAAGTTGCCGCATTACTTCTCGCTAAGCTGGGCGTATTCTGGCACGGTGGTCTGGGGGCTTGGTTGCTTGGTGACCTTCGCCCTGGTCCCGAACACTCGACTTTGGGTTGCGTGTGGGTATGGGGTAGCGTCGGAAGCTATTCGGATACCGCGGCACGCGTTGCGCTCTGCGCTCTACGCTCTGCTCTCTGCTCTCTGCTCTCTGCTCTCTTTGATTCACCTTGCTTAGGGGTCCCGCTCTCGGTCTAACCCTGGCCCTTTTGCTGTGTCAAAGTGTTGGTGATGTGCATCGTGACTTATCTATTCTAGCGCATGAATCACGAATCACGACACCTGTCAAACATGTCAAGTATGTAAGTACAATATACGAGGATTTAGCTTCTTGATTTGGTTTGTACCATCATGGTAAAAAAGAGAGGGTATCATAAGCTTTCTAGACCAACTAAACTAATAATGATTAAAAGTATTCATCCTCCCTGTGCGCCATTTGCTGCCCGCCCGCTGATAATGCTGCGCTAGATGCAATCTCGGTCTAATGGGCGTTGGTATTTTGCCTATCCATCTTGTTCTCTTCTAAGCCCACGGCTCGTGCACCAATCCTCGTCAAACATGGCCGTAAGTGATGCCATCTCGCTTTGCCCTCGGACGGGACGGGATACTGGGCGGCGATCAGATCTCGTACGGCCCCTTGGCGGCTGCAATTCCCAACCTTTACAACTGATCGCCGGTGTCCCGAGTGTCATTGCCGCCCTGGCATCCGATGTGCGTTGCCTGTTTTTCCCTCTGAAGTCATAGCGTCAGCGCCGCCATAGACTGAGTCTGGGCGCACGCTACTGGCTCCCCGAACGGTGTCGCGTCAAAGCTGGGACTACTCTTGTACTTTGTTGCTGCTGAAACAGACCCGTGGGTCAAAGGTGGTTGACACGTGTGCGGGCTTGGCTTGATAATAAGTGTACTATTCTTGTATCGCCGTTTCGTAACGGCACTTCTCGAGTGTGGTGATGCCTAGGTTCGTGTGCTCATGGCACAAGGCCGTCTGCTTCTTGGCCTTGCCACTGTTCGAAAAGTTGTCGTATTCGATAGTCCGTAGCCCAGCCAATGTCAGACTCAATGTCCCGTAGCAAGTGTAGTACCACCTGGCGCTCTCGGGGATCGCTGAGGCACTGACCCGCTGTGAACAGGGGTTGCACAGAATGAATCCGAACCGCTTCGTCGGATCGCGCAAGTGATATGCCCACAATCTCACGGCTGTGCTTCTGGCATGTGGCCAGGACCGACTGATACGAGTTCATGCGCGCAACCACTGTGCTGCCTCCCTGGGTCGATTCGTGTGGCTTGTTCATAAACAAGAGAATCTGCGACATGTGATACGTCTGCATAGTCGAGGCGCACATTGGAATTGAGTACCAGACCTCTGTAAACAAAGACGCATCGTCGCAGTTGTGAATCTGGATGGGGGTATGCGAAGGTGTAACCCTGGCCGAAGGGTTGAAAGTGACTGGCAGACCATCGTGCCAAACCTGGAACTGCTTCCGAAGATTGAACCAATAGTCGAGGAGGGTGCGTTGTGGTACGTTTGCCCAGGACACTCCGGCTGCATTGGAAATCTCGTCGCCGGCCGCCATGAAGTTGACTAGCTTCGCCATGAGCCATACAAGCGCATTACAAATCAAGTCTTCTTTCATCATCGCTTCCCCTTCTTCCGGGTATCCGCTCGCCGTCGTGTTGCTGGGCATGATATAACCTTGTTCATCGATTAGCAGCCCGGCTTCTTTCCACAACGCTAGACAGTCGGTATCGAGTCTAGTCCTCGTCTTGTTGATGACTGTACCACGTTAGTGTGACATGTCTGCAATGTCACTGGAGATTAACTTACAAGCTGCCAGCATGTCTTGCCTAGCAATGTTCCAGAAGGTCGCTCTTCGGGCTTTGGAAGTAAAGTTGAAGCTAGCCGACGGTATGCTAGAGGGGGGAGTCGGCAGTTGGAACGGCATAACGTGCTCCTGGGACAAGACCAAGAGAGATTTGGCGCCGTTCAGGTGCTTCGCCCACTCGGATACTGATGTGTCCAAGAACTCGTACACGCAAAGGATTGCTGATGCGGCTAGGATTTCATCGGTGCTAGAGACAAACGACGTGTTGCTTGAAGTTCTTCGTCGTTTGTGTGTTGGGCCGGGGTACCCTTGCACGAAGTCATGGCTTTGCCGTCGGAGCTCACACTCTGATCCATCGGGAGAGGAGGCAACATCCATCTTGAGAGCGTGCAGCAAAAGCGTCACAGCGGTATCGTAATACACGGCTGCTTTGTGTTTCCAATCAACTAAGGGAGCGTCAGGGTATTGTTCCATCCGAGCTTGACGCGTCACACTACCTCCCATGACAGGCTTTCGTCCTTGAACACGTGCAAGAGCCTTTGCGGCGCACGCAACGGCTGCGTACTTGAGTAATGGATTCTCACGTGCCTTGACTGGAACGTAAGAGGCGAAATAGGTACCAAGATCGAACAAGTCCATCCAATATCCAGGGCCTTCGGAGAACCACCGAAGAAGGAAGGCAATCTCATGGTCGTCTTGGGTCGGTGTCCCGCCGTCTGACCGGGGGGGCGACCGTCTTGAACTTGAAATTGAGACGGAACGAGGGATGTGGTCAGCAGAGTCATATGGCGAGTTTAGCCGGGGATCAATTGGTGGCGAGGCTGTAGAGGCGGCATAATCGATGACGGGATGCATGCGTCGGTTACATAATGATAGAGGAGGAGAAATGGGTGTGCCGACTGCTGATGTTGGAGGTGATTGCATCAGGGGTGGGAGAGATTCGAGGTCAGGTGTGTAGCAGTAAGGAACACTGGTATGGCCTAAGTCGGGTCCCATACTCGACGGTGTGCTGGTCACTGACTGGAAGTTGCTGTGTGTACGCCATGAAGCTACTGAGCGGGCTTCAAAGGGTCCTGGAGAGTCTGAAGCTGCCGACATGGAGTCAAAGTCTGGTGTACCAGGATCCAGGTATGGGTTGGTGGTGTTGATGAAGGTTACTGGACATGGATTAAGCGAATGGTAAAGGACAAGATAGTGTGAGACTCACCATTTTTTGGTATGTCCATCCAGATGGCATTGTCATCGAAGGTGTTCTTGTAGGCGTAGAAGCCTTTCAGAGAGTTCTCGTCTCCCAAGTCTTCGCCGTTCATCGAGGCATTGTGCTGGTGACGGAAGACAATGCCCGAGCTTGGGACACATTCTCGAGAGGCCTTTGTGCATTGCCCGCACACGGGTTTCTTCTCATCGCACTTCAGCTTCCGCTGACGGCAGGTGAGACTGTGTGGCAAAGGTCAGGACGAGGACTCAGCAGCATCAAGGTAGGTGTCGACTTACCATCCAGTTCGTGATCGCATTTCAGGGTGGTGCCAATGTGTGGGTCTATTTTCCGAAAAGCTTAAGATCTCAGAACCTCGTGCCGAGGGAAGTGGGTAAGAAAAAGCATCCACATGAGTCGGCGAGAGCTGCCCTATATCTATCTCAGTATTCAGGGCGATAGAGCGTTTGATACTCGATGGTTAGATGCGGGGTCTAGCATGGGTTCGCGCCAGTTGCGGATCCACCGTCACCATGAGCAAGGTTGCGAAAATTGACGAGAGGGATGGACCTGGCCTAGTGCATCAATCTGAATCGCACTCGGGCTGCTCCAGTTAGCTGGAGTAGGAGAACCCAGACTTCAGCGCCCAGGGACCGTGAAGGGCCCGCGCGCACGCCAGGTCGCGTCAAGCGCCGCAGTCAGCCGAGTCATGGCCGAATTGCACTACGCAAATCACTTGTAGACGCTGCAAGATGCACTGGTGGACGCCTAGCCGGAACATGGACGCTAATGTGCGACTTTAGTTAAACTTTTCTCCTGGTCGCTGCGCACTTGACTAGGGATCATGGTCGGTCCGTTTGTTGTGGCTACCAACGCATCAGGGGCCCTGTTCCCTGCCTTGTTCATAACCGGAATGACACTTCCTCTATCCTGCCAAGCCTAATCAGAACCTATGAGAAATTTCGGAGATTCCTCCATGGCCTGAGCGAGCTTTACGAGGACACGCTGGGAGCGTTAACAGCGGTAAGCGAACGATGCTCTTTCATCATCGAGATTCTGCATCTTCGATGAACTTGCAAGCATCGGAAGATAACGCGGTGCCCCTTCACCGCCCTCGACCCGTCCACCCATGCCCGCTTGCGGTTACCAGCTTGCGGTTACAGGGTTGTCACTATTGCGACACCTTCTGCTTCTTCTTCGGGCGTTCTGGCACAGCCTCCGCCATATCGCTCTCTGCATCCTCCATCTCAGCATCGCTATCGGAGCCGCTGCTCTGATGGTCAGAGTCAAATTCCTCGCCAACCTCTGATTCCGAATCGGCCTGGAAGTCCTCATCAACACTCTCGTCGTCCTCGTCAGCACTACCGCGGTTGGCTGGCTGTCCATCATCACTCGAGGCAAGATCTTCATCTTGAAGAGCCGCAGCAAGAATAGCTCCAGACTATGCGTTACCTTGTTAGTTCCGACTTCACATGGGGGGCTGGTGTTACTCACGTCGTCGGCCATTTCGTTCTTTGTCTTGATGCCCTTGGCACGGAAGAAATTCTCAAGCGGCTGTTGCTCCTCCCTGTAAAGTATTAGTCTCACGAGTTTCAATATCATACATGTGGCACTTGCCGGTTAATGTTTGAGAACTGATGTTCAGCCATGCCATGCTTCATTGTGAAGGTAATGTCGAACGTGCGGCTTGCAGCCATGGCCCCACCCACACGCGACATGGTCACCGACGCGATGTTGTCCATGCTGATGTACGTCGCCGGCTTGGGGATAAACATGAAGGCCTTGTCCAGACAGAACAAATGTCCTTCGTTGGCCTTGATAGAGCACTTGACACCCGACTGTTCATGATGACTGATGAAGTCGCGGGATGGCCTGGTAATGCGCTTTCCACTAAGGCCCTTGAAGATGTCTGCCACAACTGTAGCAATGGGGGCTTCGTAGTGCGACTGCAGTTTGTCCTTGTACTTTTCCTCTAGCAGGTCTCCCTTCATGTTCAGGTCAAGATTGACCTCCTCGTCGCGCTTGAACTGCATGACAAGGAACGGGTATCGCGTCTGGCCCTGCCTGAGAGGCGGGTCCAGACCGATGGTGATCAAGGTATGCATGTCATCAGGCTTTGGCAAGACCATGAACTTCTTGACTGAGTCAAACTGTATCTTGTAGTCGTACGTCTTACCACGTAACCGGAAGGAGCTCTCGTACATGTCGATGTCGAAACGACCTCTGTAGTATTGTTAGCACTTTGTGGATTGATGTATAAGCGAGTATCGTACCTGGGGGTAAGATGTAGGATGTCCAGGAATGTGGCGAATGTGTCACCAGCGACTTCGCCAATCTCAGCCTTCTCCATCAAAGTTTCATAGAAAAGGTTGGCGGCGTTGGTCTCCTCGCCATCTTCAGCCCCGGAGGCGTCCTCTCCGTCCTCGTTCTTCTCCTTCTTCGAAGCCAAACCGGGTATGTAGAAGCGCATTTCGACGAGCTGGTCCCGAGCACCTGCAGACTTCTTGCCTCTGAATCTCGCGCCTCCCAAGGACCCATTTGCGCCAGCATCGCCATCGGTGGGGAGAGAGAAATCGACAGCAACTTCATTCTTTCCTGCCAGGTTCGTGTTGGAGACTTCGGTGTAGGGCACTTCAAAGGCCGGGCGATTGGCGACATTGAAGGTGAGTTCGGCCTTGCCAAAATCGGCCTTTCCCCAGTTCCACCCGCGCAGAGCGTGCTCCCGATTGTCCAGACTTATTCCGTACCAAGTCTTGAAAACCTTCGAGACGCGGTCAAAGTCTTCTTGTTTGAAACCGTCAAGTTGGATCACACCGTCATTGCGCGAGAGAATCTTGACTTCATATCCGCGCGCAGCTCGGCTCCATTGCGCCTGGATGATTTGTGACTGATCGCAAGTGTATGTTTCGCCGTTTGCCGGCTTCCAGCCAAAGCCCGAGTCGGAGAATCGCGTTGCGCCTGGCTTGCGGGAGAGATTGAGGTAGATGTCGTTGAAGGCCTCCCTAGATGGCGTTAGCTTCATTAACTTGGCTATTGACATTGTCGTCCGCTTACATTTTTGCAGTCGCGGCTCAAATTATATTATTTGCAAAGGTAGAGTGCCACAGATGTTGGAAATAGAGTGTACAAGCGACGTGAGTGTTCTTGCCGCTAGGTAGATGCTCTCACTTCAAAGGTTGGCAAACGCGCTGCTTTGCTTACGTAAAGCCGACAACCGTCGATCACACGTGACAGCGCGCCTCACCTCTAGCATCATCATCCTCACCTGCCAAGTCCATCCTCTGTGGCTCAGAGGAGGCTTGATGAATTCCATCGGAAATGTTCGATGCACACAATACTTGACAGTGCATAGGCTCATCGTCGTAGGCTAGCGTTTTCGACATCCACGGTTCCAGATTACACTCTCTATCCCACCTAGGCATAGTTGACCCAGACTGTATCAGCAAATCTAGAGGAACCTATATCTAACCCTTACGACTACATCTGAATAACTTGGCACAAAATTTATAGCGTATGAAGCGAATGTACAGACTACCAAATACCTATGGGCTGCGTGTGACTGAAAACCCCAGTCCGTTGAGAAGTGTGTACCAAATCCAGACTCAAATATGACTTGGTAGAATGTTTGACCAAAACATTTCATCACTCAGACATGTCACATGTGGAATGTACCTAAGCCCTCAATGTTGGCTTCAATTGGTTCTCAACACAACCATCTGTTGCCTGGAGACTACCTAGGTACGCGTCCTTGGGTTCCTCGGGTCGGTACATGTGTTTGAGGTATGTGGTTGAGCCCATATCAGAGAACCATGAGTACAGTCAACGAGTGCGTCGTTGCCTGGCGATTCGATGGGTATAGAAGAAGAAGCATACGCTCCTATTATTCTCCCAACAACAGGTGACTGCAATCATGCCGCGCGCAACTGCCTAGAGGCTAGGAAGAATACTGGCTTTCCCGTGCACTGCACTCTTCTCCATGAAGTTCGCCATATGAATCATGACTCAGCATGCCCCTCACTCGGCCTAGGAGCTAGTTACCCCGCTAAACGCATTTGTAGCGACGCAACAACCTCATTTACTCCGCCATCATGCCATCATGACGGATACAACGAGCGCACAGCAGGCCGAGAGCCACTACTTCGATAACGAACCTCCGCCAAAGGACCTCAAAACCAACACGACCCTTGCACGAGAGTTTGTCACGCGACATGCTAACGAAGGTCTCCGCGTCGTGCTCGTCACTTCTGGCGGCACCACGGTGCCATTAGAACAGCAGACGGTCCGTTACATTGACAATTTCTCGGCCGGTACGCGAGGAGCCACCAGTGCCGAATACTTTCTCCAAAACGGCTATGCAGTCATCTTCCTACATCGACAGTTCTCCCTTCTCCCCTACTCGCGGCACTACTCGCACAATACGCGGTCCTTTCTCGATTTCATGAAGGAGGAGGGCGGCAAGGTGGTGGTGGATGAACAACACCAGGATCAGATGCTACGTGTCTTGCGCCAGTACAATGAGGTCAAGCGTGAGAACAAGCTGTTGATCCTGTCCTACGTAACCATCACCGAGTACCTGTGGAACCTGCGCGAGGTTGCGCAGCTCATGCGTCCGCTTGGGCCCAAAGCCATGTTCTACTTAGCTGCCGCCGTATCCGATTTCTTCGTGCCTCAGGACCGCATGGTTGAACATAAGATCCAGTCAAATGAAGAGTTCCACCAAGGTACAGATGGCGCCAGTGGGGGCAACGTGAAACCACCAGCGGCACGCACCGAAGGCAAGAGTCTCATAATCGATCTGGAGCCCGTACCCAAGTTCCTCAAGCAGCTCGTCGATGGCTGGGCGCCCGAAGCCATGATTGTAAGCTTCAAGCTGGAGACCGATCCTTCTCTACTCGTCACAAAGGCCAGATATGCACTAAACAAATACTCACATCACCTGGTTATCGGAAATCTACTGCTCACTCGCAAGTGGGAGGTCGTTTTTGTTTCCGTGCTCGATGGCGAGAAATGGATCAGAGTGCCCACCAGCCGCAGGACGAAGAGCCTGTCTGGTATGCCATCCCTGGTCGGCTCCGCAGATCAACAATCAGGGAAAGTTGTAGAAGCGGGTGCGTCCATTGCCATAGAGAAAGGAGTACCACAAGGCGAGCCATCTATGGAAATCGAATCCCTAATCATCCCTGAGATCGAGTCCATGCATACTAGGCTGATAGAGCAAGCCCAGGCACGAGATTTAGCCAAAGAATAATATGCAACATCATAGCAATCATCTCAAATCATCTAAAAGATCTTTTCCATGTATAATAGATTGTTAAAGGAAGCAAAGGCAAGTGCTTGAGCTTCTTGGAATAACACGTACCATCATCAGAAGTCATCTCTTTTTGCTTTTTGCGTTGTGTGCTTCTTTACGGTTCACAACATCATACACGTGTTCGTCAGATTGTCATCTATGCGTAGCACTCACTCTAGGATTACTTTCCACTGGGCCGATACATGGCGCACAGTGGCGCCGTACATAATTAGAAACACAGCGCCGACGCCAACGATGCCAGCAAAAATACCTGCCAGGGTACCAAAACTACTCGTGTAACCAACACTGTCAACCCAAGGTATGACACCGTACAAGAAGCCAAAAGCCACAATGTTCTTCAGCCCATTGACAAGTAGCAGGACGTCAGAGTTTACTGGCAGTGCACAGTCACTCAAATACGCCAAAGTAACTGTAGGGATCGCAGTCAGCGCTACCGAGATCATCCCATAGCCGAAGAACAGTGACACCCACGACAGCGCATCCTGAACGCCATAACCAAACAGGATGGACCCCGACGTTGTGATCACCAGTGGGATGGCTACCATGTAGATTCTACTCTCAGGCTCGTAGACACCAAGATACCTTGTCGTACGCCATTTGCACCAGGCGTCAACCAGGTTACCTGTATTGAATCAGTTCATCTGCTGTCACCATTTTACAATCTGCTTACCTCCAGCCCATGATCCAAAAACGTTGCCCAATATACCAGGGATGTTTATGAGGCCATTTATTTGCGGGCTCCAGTTATACGGAGGTGCTTGTAGTACGAAAGGATTGAGAATGTTGACAGCGACCGTGATGACAAGGGATATCGAGTAGCAGAGAAACGCGTAGATGACTGCCGGATACACGATCATTGGAAAAGGTCTACTGAATATTAGCACGTCAACCCTTTTACGGTGCTCGACTGCTTCTCACCGTATGAATATCTTGGCAATGTTCGTTTCCGAAGTTCCGCTCCACAAGCTCAGATCCTGCGCCCAGGTCTTCTTTGGCAGTTGCTGTACATTTCCATGACCGATAATATCCTGTGAGGCCTTTTCTTGTGTCAAGACAATCCTCTCGTTTGATGGGTAACTCGCGTCGTCAACTCCATCTACTTCCTCCCGCTTGTACCTTGTTTCAGGAACGAAGAGTATGATGGCAATGAAGTTTATTGCAGTCAAAATCACAGTAATCCATTTTTGCCAGCGCCAGGAGAGATTTGTGACGATGAAACCGCAGACCAGGGGACCGATCGTGTTGCCACCTGCTATGGCGTTCCTGGATCTCGTCAATCTCCAGAATTAGAATCCCCTTCCTGCGCCACGATTATCGTGTGGCTTATAGGTGAGTGAGGGGATAGGTTGGGACGAGAAAAAGTACGCACATGTAGAACCCCATTTTGCCACCACGTTCATGCAAAAAGTATAGGTCCTGGGAGAGTTCTTAGTCAGTGCATTCCATGCTAATGCTATTGCTCTTTGAACCAGGGTCTCGGAATGGTATGCATAATGAAACATTGTTCCAAAACACCGTTTCTCGGATACCCATAGGGTCGGTGTTCCACGTTTGACACCTAAAAGGGCATACACTGAATTCCAGAGCTTACATTGACTGTTGCCAGCCCGAGGGCCTCTGTGGAAGACCCGGCAAATGCGGCAATAATATTACTCCAAAGCAAACTCTGGAACGAAGTTGCTACAGCCCCGCATACGCTGCTTACGCAGAGCAGTCCACTAGCAAACACAAAGATTGGTCTTTTCCCAAAGAAATTGGCCATTGGCACCCAGAAGAAGTTGAAGACTCTTAGAACCAAGATGGGATACACAAGCATATGTGACATTTGGTTGATTGGCTTGGAGAATTCGCCCGAAAGGATGTAAAACGCTGGTGACAGACCGGCAATCCCGAAATTTGTCAGGAACGTGAAGGCGCACACCGAGGCGAACGCTACATGCTTCTTCCAACGTGGCCAGCGAAGAGGGTCATTTGGATCGCTTGGTGAGGGCTGTGGGGACAAGATGATGCTCGGTGGAGCGGTCTCATCGCTACCGGCTAGAGCACACCATCAGTTTCTGATGCAGGGAAATAAGAATGAATGTTATGTGGAGGCCTACTTTGCTGCAACACCACAGTGCCATCTGTCTGGTCCAAGTCCCGCAAGCTCCTGAACCTGAGCCCCATGTTTACGTGTTGTTGGTTTTCCAACGCTCAAGCTTCAGTTCGAAGTGGAGGTGGTGATGAAGTGATTGCGTCACAGTCCTGCTCCGTCTTGGTTGAAGTCGGCGACGAGGAAGTTTCTATCGGGCAAGCAAACATGTTGAGTCGTGGTCAGATATTAGGCCGTGCATGCTGTGCAACGCTCGAGTCAAGCATGGCATCCTTCCTAGTATAGAACGCTCACTCACTCTTACTCATCACAAGACGCTAGCCCTATCAACGAGCAGTTGCTGGACAATTTGGCTTTAGTTGGTTGGGTAAAATGTTAGGGGGACGCGCGCAATGTGGAGAGCGACCGTGCCGGAGGTGGGGGGCCGGTCGAGCTTCCGTGCATATCTTCTCATTGCTGTTGCTGGGAGCTGAGGGGAATCCATGGTTTGCCTGACAGAAGCAAGTTGAAACGCGATGGCGAAAACTAAGGTCGGTACTTCGGGAGGAGCCTGGGAGCGTAGCCCCGATTGCCTGAAATTGCATATGCAAACTTACTAGGTGCAATGTATTGAGCTTCTCAGTGTCCATGCCAACACTGGACGATGCGCACGCACTCTTGTGGTTTTGTCTAGCGTACGAACCACGATGTCATCTGTGCCCTGGAGCTGTTCGGCGTTGATCGAGATTGAGATGCCATGTCGCTGCTGACATACACCGGAGCCATGCTGAAACAGTTTATTTTTTTTATTGTTGAAGGCAACCGATGGAAGAGGGTCGATCGGTGAAGTGTTCAAACGAAGTTGCCCTATGGTGTTTGGGAACCAAAGTGCGCCTGACGGGAGCTTGCTACAAGTCGGATTTTTGTCGGTAGCTCAAGCAACCGTCCATCTCCTAGCCGTCCATACAAGTCGAATGCATCCATGGTGATGACTGCAATTGCGCAATCCCGTCCCGTCTCGCTAATCGCTGCCAAGGCTCGCGGCGTGAATGCCCTGGGACCTCAAGAAGCAATGCTCAACCTCTTCTTCACGTAGACTAAGTAGCAGCTCGTCTCGGGCGGCGCTACACAGGAAACCAAATGAGTCCTGCTACTGTGCGCGCTGCTTTACAGCTCAGCTGAGGGCGCAGTCATGTTGTGGTGGGTGTTGAGACGCCACTCGAGACAAATCTGGCGAGGAATCCGTGCTTTGGTTCCGAGATGCAACGCTGGGCGCATACCTGAGCATTGCACCTACAACGAGCATTGACAGAACGGCCCTTGACAGACGCCCAATGCCAATAATGAACATTGCACTCGTCTCGACGACGAATGGTGTTTGTATGCTCTGCTTTGCTCGACGCGACAAGTCATGGTTACGGTGCGATCAAGGATGTGCGGCTCTCGTCCTGAAGCCCCGGACGTCGCGTTGTGGCATTTCTCGACACACGACTTATGCGGACTGTTGTTTTTCCCCTTTGTCAATGAAGGGTCCATTGGAACTATGAAAGGATGGGGGAGTTACATTCCAGCCACCACTGTGCGACGGCTACGCTGCCCAATCCAATACCTCACCATTACTCCCACTGCCGCACAAATGATTCTGCGCAACAACGGCTTCCACACTAGCCGTCTCTGGATAATCTACTGCAACTGTCCCGATCCCCCCATGTGTCCGGCAGGAGGATCATCAGCGCCGTCACGACAAGCTGCAAATCATGGATGCATGAACAGGCATATCGTCAAAGCTTTTGACCGTTCCTCTATAGGCGCCATCGGTCAAGACGTGTTGACAAGACAGTGCTCCCTTGCTTTCCTTCTTTTCCGGCTATGACCCCTGCCACATTGGGACCACAGATGACGCCTTGCGTTGCGCTGCGTGGCACCTATTGGACGGAGCAGGATGAGCATGTCCAATGGAGCGACCAAACAACTCTCCGAGATCTTGCTGCTGTGAATGCTTATCCGACGTAGATCAATAGTGTACAGCGCTTTCGAACCCGCGGATGCGGCATATGTAACGCCCTTCTACCGCTTGATCCTAGTCTACACCAAAAGCCTCCCTGTCCCCGCCCACCACGGCTTGATGTTGGCGGCTTGTTTGGGCTGGAAGAGCTTCCTTGATAAACAATGTGTATCACCCCTTGGTTCCGACACACTGGACTTGTGCAAGTACACATCGTCTAAGGACCGAAACTCTTATCAAGGCTTGCCCGCCCTGATAGGCCTACTGTCTTCCTCCTCACCTTATCGCCTGGAATCAACCTACTTGCCGTTATCCAACGTGATCACTGTAGAATACAGCAACAACATGGCAACCTCGACGGTGACCATGGTGTCACCAAACCAACCGGTACCGTTGACGAGAATACCATCCGCCTTCAAGGACCCCAGGCCACCACCATCGACTCCTACAAAAACGGCACAGTTGTGGGACGAGTATGAGAGACAGGCTGTAGAAAAAGCAAGGGAAAGAGAGATGCATACCCAGACGCTACAAGTTCTATTACCTACAGCTCCGAAGAACAGAAAAATACGCCCACAGCTCGACAGATGCACGTCGAGATCAAGTTTTGACTTTCGGTTCCGACGGGCACACGCTGCTACACCATCAACTACAGTGTCCATATGCAAGACATGCCAACACCCCATCATCTACGCCTCTGGAATTTGCGAACTCTGTATAAGAACCATTGTCCTCCCCGCTCCGGGAGAAGCCACGCCCCCCATCAGTCCTGCCACACGCAACTTCCCCATGTCGGACCCCCAACAATTCCACAAAATCTCATCCGGCGAAGAAGCAATTGTCCCAATACCAATATCGCCAAGACGTGCATCATTCTGCCCACTTCCACCACACATGGCCGAGCTACCCATGCGAATGTCGTCACTGCAGCCCCCCTCTGAGCAGCAAGAAGCATATCTAGACACGTCACGGCAGCGAAAAGTCTCCCTCACCGACCCCAATCTCCCGATTCTACGTCTCCAAATTGCACACGTACCCCGATCACAGCCCGATTCCCACCCCACAACACCCACTTCTCCTCCATGGACGCAATCGCGATCCTCGACGCGCCGCTCCAGCTTAGCAAACGTTGCTTTACTACAAACGCAGCCCTGGCCCCACGCACGCAATGACAGCGCCACGCTATCAGAGATGAGCACTTTGTACCCTTCTGCTTCTGCAGGCGCTTCCTCACCACCCACTTCTTGTCGCGTCGGTTACCCGCTGCAAACCACCGTGAGCGCGTGGGATGACTGGGACTCTGATGACGACAAAGTGGGGCTTGCGGGCTGGATGGGACGACGAAAAGCTAAAAGCAGGGGCATGGATAGCTTTGATAGCGAGAGGGAACGGCCTCGCACAGGTGTTTCCGACAGACCCCGAAAGGCGCGCATGAGCAAGGAGGAGATTAAGCTTGAGCGTGTGCGCATCGAGGCGGCGGAGACGGCGAGGGCGTTTCGTCTGGCGAGTGAGAATATGCCGAGGAAGAAACAGAGTGGGTTTGCGAAGATGTTTACCTGTGGGTGTGGGGATGATTAAGTCCATCTTTTGAGAAGCTTTTTTCCTTTGTCATTTTCCTTATAGTTGTCTTTTCTTTGAGCTTGTTGCTGTTGTTGTTTCCAAAAGGCGCTTTGCGGAAGATATCACTTGGGGGTTCAAAACTTTGCAACGACAAAGGGGGGAGTTGTGTCGTATGACTTACATGCTAGACAGCATTATCTTTCCTATTATCTTTTTCTTTCTTATCAAGGCGGTGTGTACATAGTTGAGTGTAGATATACATAGATATATATATATTACTAGATTGCTGGACTAGAGGTCCGCGATTGCAAAACAAGAAATTCTAGCTTTTGAGAGAGTGCAAGAATCAGCATTACAATCATCTATACTACAAGTTATAAACTGACACTGCAACATGTACACGACACTTGATTTCATAGTACTGACCAAATCCAAGTCAGTGAAAGCCATGCTCCTGACTCCACCCTACTACACTGCGATTTCGCCATTAAAATCTCCTCCGATCTCCTTATCACACCTTGACGCCCTGGACTTCCCTACAATCACCCACATTTCAACCGCCTATCTACGCACTCGCCGTCCTCCGCCACCATGCAGCTATGCGAAGTCGTGTCCAGCGCTTACTCTGTCCACGACGGCGGCTAACTTCTGTGCGAAGGACATGCGGTGGAAAGACACTTTTGATGCGGTGTATGTGAGTACTGATGATGCGATGTGGTACGGCACTGCACGACAGGATAATAGTCCTGGAGGGGTCAGGGTCAGATATGTCGTTGGGACAAGTTGTATACCATATATGTCTTCATATCATCCATGGCATTTAGCTATGGGATTGTGCGATTCTTGATGATTAGAGAGCATATTGTGGTGGTTACGCGCCGTCGACTGTATTTTACGCGCGCGCGAGCCTGGCGGTAAAAGGAGGTCTTTCACATGTGAATTCCGTGTACCCACCGTTCAGCGCCCCTGTCACGCAGCAATGTCGAAGCGAGGAACGCCATGAGCATCTGATCACCGTCTGTGGCATCTAAGATGGGGCGAGGTCGTGGTCTGTTACGCATGAGTGGTTTGGTTTACTTCTGGAAGATCCTGGAGGCTATTCCTTGTCGTGTGTAACGTGACAGGGCTCAGCTAACTACGCGAGGGTTACACATAGTGGCTCATTGGAGACTTTGTCATGGTATCATCACCAGCACAACGTTTGTTGGTCGTGGGGATCTACGAGTGGAGACGATGATACGGTAGGCGTGCGTTGCCGTTGTTTGCTCGACACGCAGACGACCGTTGATTAGATGGCGCGGACGAAGCGAGTGCGATACCACGGCTTGGCGTAACGTTTGGCGCTTTCGCGTTCTGAGTGGCGCTGTGGACATGCGGTGGATACTGCACATGGAGTGATGCATGGTAGTGGCAGACGCATCTGTGAACGTATTGAGTGTCATCTGTAACGATCAGTGTCTCTAATATACAATGAAGGCGGAGACAAAGACTCTTTGGATGTATGTTACTTGCGCTTCTGGACATGTACGCAGCTTTCATGGGATCATATGAGTTTTGTTGATGAGTGACAGGTGAGTGGTTGATGAACAGTACTGCAGCTTGCATATTGGAATAACGACGACGGGTAAAAGCTGATGAAACATGCATAGGTCAGAGGGCGAAAAAGAAGGAAAATTCGTGATCTAGATGTGTCCTGGTATGCTCAGGAGTCTCGCATCCCCTAAACGGCGACTAAAACGTTTTTACGGCGAAGTGCTTTCCGTGTTCTTTGATTGGTGCTGGCCATCAGGGGAAATCAGGCAATCGACTGCCGCAACGGGTATTTCAGGCACTCCACTTCGTCATTCGACAACGCTTGGACATTGCAGTCGATACTTGCCAAACATGCCGAGTTCGTATAGATGCGGGGTCTGGTAAACATCAACAGAGGCGTGGTTCCAAGGCCAATACCGGAAGTTTGATAGGGTTTGTAAACGGGCCGACTCTTGCTAAAATCGATCAACCTGGTCTACCTACATACGATGACTGCTACAGTATTCTGGCAGCAAAACATTTTGGTCCGGGTGACAGATTATTCCCGGAAAGCGGAAAGCGGAAAGCGGAAAAGCGGAGGTAGCAAAAAGCGAGGCCGTGGCAGCCGCTGTGGGGACTCTGCAAAAGTTGACAACTTGGCGAGTCGGGGGTCCAGCCACAAGTGCAATGCAGTCACGATGGTGTTGCAAACAAGGAAACACCAATGTGCTTAGCATGTGCGGAGAGTATCCGCACCGACAGCGCATGCTCAGAGGCAGCAGAGTTGCAGTTTCGTAATAGTGGTGGTGGGTGCATATTGAAGGCTGGTGGTGGCAGCCACGTTCAATGCGATGGAGGAACAATCGGTCAAATTTCGACGTGTCGGTGATGCGCCGGCATTGGAATCTCGTGTTCGGCAAGTAGACCAATCTCGTTGAATTTGGTCAACAAGGCGCGCCGGGTGGAGGTGATCAATATGCAACAAGATGCTGACAGGTTTCGGGCAGTGCCGTGCTCGGATGTGTCGGCAGCTCTAGATTGAGGCAGACCAGCTCTTCGAGATGCTGGCAGCCATTTTCAGGTACAGGCAGGCCAGCACGCCGGGCAGGTACTAGAAGTCGTGTTTAGACAAGCTAGCTGGACGGCCGGTCACCTGCAGTGTTTTTGGATACGAGATATGCAGGGGACGGGGAACGACATCCGTCAACCATCTAGAAAGCTAAGGTGCGTAGACGTTCGTGCTGGCGGGCTTGGTAATAGCGCGGCGGTAGGTCGCAGGCTGAGGACTTGCGCCATGTGCTATTGCGTAAATACGACTATCTACATGGTATACAAGTGTCGTGATGCTTCGTCCCGCCCGGTGATGAGCAGCCTGTGCCCCTGATGCCGATAAGGCTCGGCAGGCTAACCGTATTGGGCTCGGATGTGTGGGGAGGGCTGCATAGTTCCTTTCCTTGCCTCCTGCCGTCTAAGCTTTTTACGGCTAGCGTCTGGCTTGGTACGGTTAGCGCCGGCCATCGGGCTGGTAGCTTCCCTCGTGTGGCTAGGCGAGCTGGATGCACCGGATGGCTCAGGGCTGCAATCTCTTCGCCGCCACAGGACAAATCCCCAAAGCTTAGCGCATTAGCCAAAATGCTTGACTCTGTCCGCTGGGCTCGGTGACAGCGCGACGTTTGTCGGACCATTCCCCCTCTGCCGTCGCTGGAGCGATGGTGAACAAGTGTTGCTGCAGGCCAGCAGGTTGCCTTCACGATAGCCTCATTGCCAGGCCCCTCAGCCTCCTCCTCCTCCTCCTCACATACTTCTTGTCGTCACCTGTGCCGGTTCCCGCGTCTCCACGTCTGCTGTGTGCTGCGAGCCAACGCTTCGCCTCAAAATAGAATGCCAGCGAGCCCAATCCCCGCGATGATCCTACCGCCCCAGTCTAACATTGGGTGAAAGATTGGAAATTGCCGCGCAAAGCAAGCCCCCCCCCTAGGGCTGCCCGCTGGCCCTAACCAATACCGTTATTGGGCCACACGTCCAATAGGCTGAGCCGATGACTAGTATAGCTGAACTCGTTCGTATATTCCTTGTTTCGACGCAGGTACTTGAGGCCAAGCACTCCCGCCTGCTTTCTTTCCCTCCATCGCAGTCGACGCCACCCAAGTCGCTCGTTGACCCTCGCTCACCCACTACTGTGTTGGTTGCTGTCACTCGTTTCCAGCCTCCTCCACGTTCTATATAAGTCGCTAATAATACTTCCCTTAATTTGTTTGGTCAACTACAACTAGGTAAGTTCATTCCGAAGTCGCTACCATCGGCCGCCGCTTCCCTTCTATTTTGCAATACCAACAAAGATTCAAACATTCAAACCATCACTCCTTATATCCTTCCGCCCCTCTACACTACCCTCGACACCCTTGTTTCCATGTCACTACACCTATCTCTCTATCCCTGGCATCCTATTTGCCGGCATTACACTTGAATGACTATCTCGTCCTCCAGTGCTCAGTCAGCTCACATTATTCCCTAGCTTTACATCCATAATGAGGGTTCAATACATCGGCCTGTTCGCCAACTTGGCGTACGGCATGATCGATACCTTTCCGGGTTTGGTTCAGCCCTACTGCGACGAAAACCCTCTCGCATGCCTCTCTGGTCAACAATGCTGGCAGAAGGAGAAGTAAGTTTACACGGGGAACAGCTTCACCAATGTTGGCTAATGCATAACAGATGTATCCCTATCATCCAGAGCCCATTTTCGAGGTTTCCCCAAATTGCAGAGCCAGAACTCAACACCGGCGTTTCCAACGCTCCGAAGTATGCATCTTACCGCCGAGTAATGCCCGAGGTCAAGAGACAGTCCAAGTACTCGCAAGACGGCCAGTGCGGTCCTGCTCACGGCAACCTGCTCTGCGACCCCAACAGCACCGTGTACACTGGCACATGCTGCTCATCATACGGATGGTGTGGAAACACAGCTGCGCATTGCGATGCCGGCTGCCTGTCAGGATGCTCCAACCAGCCTTCTACTCCTCAGCCTACAACAGCTGGACCCAAGCCCAGGGACGACGGCAGGTGTGGAAAGGACTTTGCTGGCGCAACATGCGACACGAACGGCCAATACGGTGGCTGCTGTTCGTCTTACGGATACTGCGGTAGCACTGACGGGCACTGCCTCAAGGCAAACGGATGCCAGAACGGATGCAAAGACACTACCCCCGTCCAATCAGCTGCCCCTACCACGACTGGAACCCGTCCTCCTTCTTCTACTACCTCTGGCGAGCCTGTTCTTGGTAAGCCCTCAGCCACAGGTACCCCTAGCGGTGCCGCGACTACCGACGGAACCTGTGGAGCCAAGTTTGGCAACACTGTCTGTGGCAACTGGGCACAGGGAAGCTGCTGCAGCATGTACGGCTACTGTGGTAACACCACTGCTCACTGCGGTGAAGGTTGCCAGAACGGACCATGCAATTCAGCTCCCGTTGTACTTGCACCTGCCGCCAGCCCGGCGCCTGCTGCCGCTAAGCCCGGAAGCATCCAAATCAAGGGCCGATCTGGTGTACCCGCCATGCACGCTGGCCTCATGCCCAACGGCAAGGTTGTCTTCCTTGACAAGGTTGAGAACTACACCGAGCTCAAGCTTGGTAACGGCCAGTTTGCTTACTCTTCCGAGTGGGATCCCGCCACCGGCAAGCTTACTCCCTTGGCCTACAAGACCAACGCTTTTTGCTCTGGTGGTATCTTCCTGGCTGATGGCCGCTTTGTATCTCTCGGTGGTAACGCCCCGCTCGATTTCATCGACCCCACTGTTGGCGATGGTTTCCGTGGTATCCGATACTTGAAGCGATCCTCCAGCGATGCCTCTCTCGACGGCCAAGCATGGAGCGAACCCGGCCAACAACTCAACACTCCTCGCTGGTACGCCTCCGTCCAGATCATGGGTGACAACAGCATCTTTGTCGCATCCGGATCCAAGAACGGTCTCGACCCTACCAAGCCCGAGAACAACAACCCTACCTACGAGATCCTCAACGCCGACGGTACTCCTCGCGGAAAGAGTGTCAACATGGAGATTCTGAGCAAGAACCAGCCTTACTACATGTACCCCTTCATGCACTTGATGAGGGATGGTAACCTCTTCGTTCAAGTCGCCAAGTCTGCTGAGATCTTCAAGGTTGAGACTGGATCCGTTGTCCGCACTCTGCCTGACCTGCCCGGTGCCTACCGCACCTACCCCAACACTGGTGGATCCGTCATGATGCCTTTGACCAAAGCCAACAACTACAACCCTGACATCATTATCTGCGGGGGTGGCCCTTACCAAGATATCACTGCTCCCGGCGACCCATCTTGCGGCCGTATCAGGCCTCTTGATACCAATCCGTCATGGGAGATGGATGCTATGCCTGAAGGCCGCTGCATGGTTGAGGGTACGCTTCTTGCTGACGGCACCATCGTCTGGGTCAACGGTGCTCAAGAGGGTGCCCAAGGTTTCGGTGTTGCCCAGAACCCTTCGCTCGAGGTTCTCCTGTACGACCCTTCAGCGCCCAAGGGCCAACGCTGGAGCACGGGCCCCAAGTCCACCATCCCCCGTCTCTACCACAGTGTATCTCTCCTCCTCCCTGACGGCACCCTACTCATCAGCGGCTCCAACCCTGTCGAGCAGCCTGTCCTCACCGCCTCGAAGCAGAACCCGTTCCCCACCGAGTTCCGCAACGAGATCTACACTCCCCCTTACCTCCAGGGCAACCCCACCCGTCCCTCCAACGTAGTCATCTCCAGCAAGGAACTCAAGGCCAACAGCAGCACCTTCACCATCAAGTTCAACGTGCCTGCCAACTCCAAGAACCTCAAGGTTTCTCTCTACTACGGTGGTTTCGTTACCCACTCGGTCCACATGGGTCACCGCATGGTCATGCTCGAGACTACTGGCTTCAACACGGCTTCCACCGGCCAGACCGTCACCGTGACCATGCCTCCTAACAGGAACGTCCTGCCCGCCGGTCCCTACCTCCTGTTCGTTGTCGTCGATGGCGTCCCTGCCATTGGCCAGTTCGTCCACGTCTCTTAAGCGAGACCGAAGACGTTCAACTTCACGCTACGACAATACGGTGGTGTGCTTGTGTGTTTATAGATACTTCCCTTCCTGTAAAAATCTTCTGGTCTGGAAAGTCCTTTTTTGGGAGATGGAATCATAAAATTGGTGACGATGGATAAATAGCCTAATGGGCCCCTGATGAGTTTCTTGCATGTATCTTCATGTCTAGTCCAATGAACATGATAATTTCAATATACAAACGTCTTGGACTGCTATCTTTGTGTGTGTGTGTGTGTGTGTCGTGGGGTTGTGGGGTTTCAATTTCCATGTGACAGCTCGTTCGTCCCGGTAGCTGGGAATCTGACTTATGTGGTACACAATACCCCGGGTGAAATGTCGGGTTCTTTTTTCCTGGTAGCTGGGACAAAGAAAGTGTGGGGTTACGTGGTTGGGTCGATGCGGGTCGGTAGTAGCACATGGCACACAGTCCACCACAGATGGTCTACCAAACTTTGTTTCCCCTGGCCAGCCAGCGCCCTCGGTCCCAACCCGACAAGACCTCAAAAGGTGACAAGTCCTTGGCATTACTATCACAATGTGTACAAAGTTTGATTCTCTTGTTTGTTTTGGCCTGAGCTTCAGAATGAGAAAAGGAAAGTCTCAACGATCAACAGCAACAAAAGGTCCGCTATGCCAGAAACGCCCAGCGTCCACACCCCGCCCATACCAACAACACCCTCCCGCATTTGCAAAAAAATAAACCCCTGATACAAGGCGGCTGCCGTGAACAATGTAATAGTGACCAAAGCGCGCAGTTTTAAGAAACGGAAAAGGCAAGGTGTGACCACAGAATGACCTTTTCCGTTGCGTGTGTGCACCAACCCTCACACGCTCCTTTAAAGCAGCCTGTGTAGGGCTACTAGCTGCAGATCTACCCGAAACGACACGCAGAACAGATGGGAACGTCCCCGTTCATGCTCGCCTCACCCACTCACTCCTGTGGTGACTGGATCGGCAGCACTCTCCCCGAATCCACAATGATCTGCTGGTCAAGTCTCTTGCCCACATCGCCGTATTCCAGCCTCTTCCACGTAACGATACGTGCCTGATTGGTATCGATTTCAAATACGCGCAGACGACGATGGTAGTGGTTGTATCCGCCGTAGCCACCGAAGCCGCTGCCACCGGCATAGCACATCCAGAGTTCTGGGTCGCCCGTCTTCTCGTCCTTGGAGAGGGCACAGTAGTCGTTTACGTGGTCGTGGCCGCACGAGACGGTTTTGACGTCGTATTCGACGAGGGCGTCTTTGAAATGCGTGTTGAAGGCGGGGGCGGTGATGGGTTCGGTCCAGTTGCCTACGCGGTCGTTGTCCGGGTTGCCGTATTCGGGGAGGGGGATGTGGATGAAGGCCATGTTGAGGTGTTTGTGAGTGTAGTGGCTGTGCGCCTCTTTGAGGCCTTCGGCTGTGGTCTTGAACCAGTTGATCTGGTTTGGCTTAAGCCAGTCGTAGCCACGGTAGTGGGTTTCATCCGGTGAGTACGAGTGTGTGTCGAGGAAGTAGAGCGTCAGGGCAGAGTGCTTGCTGCTGTGGGCTTGAATCTCAACAAAGTAGTTGCCAACTCCTTCGATGGTGTTTGGGCCGGGCTCGCTGACTGAGAAGGGTAGAGAGTCGTAGAGGTCCATTTGCGCGTGGCGAGAAAGGGTACCCTCGTCATCGTGGTTACCGAAGATGGCTGCGTATGGTATCTTGCGCTCTGCGAGGGGGTCGACAATCTTGAACAGGGCCTGTGAATTGGTCAGCTTGTAGCACACAGCGAAATGGAGTGTCTTACGCTCTGAACATCGGGCGCAGTGTCGCCATTGACCTGATCACCAGACAAGACTACAAAATCAGGCTTCTCGTCATCGAGAAGCCTCTCCACAAACTCCAGAGTCCTGGGGTCAGCATCGCAATGTCCACCGTTTGCGCCTTTGGGTTCCGCGTCTCTGCAGTGGCCGAGACCAGTGCTGAGATGCAGGTCGGAAATCTGCATAATCTTGAATTTCCCATCCTTTCTGATCTTAGGTACCGGCTTCTCAATCTTGGCTGCGCGGCCACGTCGTAAGCTCAGGCGGGGGTCTGTACTATCCTTGGCGCTGCTGTCGAGATGCAGCGCTCCTTTGACCAGCTCCCACCCAGGTCGTGGCTCGACAGCATCTGAACCAAATAGAATATCTATCGCTGTAACCGCCTTCTTGGAGTCGCTCGCGTGACGCTTGAGCGATGTCTTGATCCAGACGCCGGCGGGACGAGGCTCCCACTTCTCCGACGCCTGTGTCTTCTCTGCTATTGAGGGGTCGAGCCTGCCTGTACGAATATCAATAATGACCTTGTCTTCAGTCTTGAGCTCCTCTTCGCGCTTGCGCTTGATGTGCACGTATGCCTTTGTGACCCATCCCTTGCCGAGATACAGGTCCTTCTCGATGCGGTGCCACTTCTTCTGGTCCAGCATACACTTAGACAGCGGATTAATACTCGAGCATGTCTGTACGGTGATATCGGTGATGACGAGGCCGTCGTGGTGTAGTGGCATATGGCTGTGGACCGACTGCGGGAGGACTCGATAGCGGTTGTCGAGGAAGAAGAGAGACGTAGAGACGAGCAATATGAGGGCAATGAGCTGCACGCCCGTCCGCACCTGCAAAGTCAGTCTCTGACATGGCTACTCAGTGTTTGTGCACTTACTATCCGGCGCGTCATGGTGGAGGCTCTTGAGGGTGTAGGCGTAAGCGCATGAAGGCAAAGTTGGGATTAGAATCGGTTTCTCTTGCAGTGGTGCAACGTCATGTCCGTGATATGGAAAAGGCCTTGTTCAAATATTCAATCTTGTGCGTGCAGGGTCAGAGGTACCGGCGCGTATGAAGCGTGGTGCTGCGGGTCGCTGCTCTTGGACCACCCGTACGATAATGTTTGAACCTCTGGGATCGTCACGGGGATAAACAGAGTCGCGGTTTCGGGTCCGCACGTGTCGAGTGTAGGCTGAATAGGATAAGCATAGGAGACGTGGCAGTGGTATTATTTACGAGAGTTAATCTCGTCCAGTGCTGTCTTGCTCGCAGGTGCCCGCCCGCTCGGCCCGCTTGGTGCTTGCGGAGAAGGGCGTCACCTCCGCATCTGCACATATTTCTCCTCTGCGTCTGCAAAGCCATGCTGTCTTCTTCCCCTCTGCGCCAGCTACCACGTGCCGTCCAATTCACTCCCTTTTGTACGCAAATTCGAAACTTGTCCACCAGCGCCCGTCTTTGCCGCGCTTTTCAAGGCAAGAAGTCCACCTCCACCTATGCGCCGTCGCTCACACTCGCATAGAAGGCGATGTGGTGCTCCTTCGCGAGAAAAGAGATAGCCACGATGGCCGCCTCGTGAAACTGAAAGCCACCGGTTCGACACATACGCACCGGGGCGTAATTCAACATGCCGACGTCATTGGAAAGGAGTCGCGACAAATTGTCCAGTCCAGCAAGGGCGCCACATATCGCGTTATCGAGCCGACATTGGCAGAGTATGTCCGGTTGACCCCTCGTCTTGTCACTCCGGTGTGTACAGCATTACCCCTAATGTCAGCGATACTCATCCAGGCTAGCTCTACCCGTCGGATACAAATCTCATAGTCTCTTTGCTCGACATTCACGTGGACAGGCCCTCCCCTGACCCAGACTCGGAGCCTCCGTTCGAGATTCTCGAAGCTGGCACAGGCCACGGCGCGCTGACACTGCATCTCTCGCGAGCAATACACGCCGCAAATCCGCCGCTTCCCAAGACGCCCTCTATCACCACCACTGAGGAAGAACCTGAGGATGCAGTCTATCTTGGCGAGTCCATGTCGGATTTGGGCGACTCAGCAATTGAGTCTTGGAAGCAGAATCGCCGTGCCATCATACATACGCTTGACATTTCTAGCAAGCACTCTCAGCATGCCAAGAAGATTGTGCAAGGCTTTAGACATGGCATGTATTCTGAGAATGTTGACTTTCACGTGGGTGATATATCGGACTGGATCGCGAAACAACAAGCTTCGCGAAAGACAGACAAGCCCTTTCTGGCGCATGTGTTCTTAGACCTACCGAATGCGAACAGCCATCTAGCCAACGTCATCCCAGCGTTGCATGTCAACGGACTGCTCGCCGTCTTCAATCCCAGCATAACCCAAATCGCCGAATGCGTTGAAAGAATTCGCGAACAGAGGATGCCATATCTCCTTGACCAGGTCATTGAGCTGGGAACAGGCACAATTCGTGAATGGGACGTGCGCGCCGTCAGACCAAAAGCAACAGTCAGGAAAGCTGGAGCAGACCAGCCTTCAGAACCCTCAAGCGATGAGGGAGTAGACTCCGAACAAAGACAAGCCGCGAGGGACAGTGAGCTTGAAGCGGAGCTGAGTAAGCAAGAAGAAGAAAAGTGGGTCATGGTATGCCGTCCCAAGGTCGGTGAGATGGTCGTTGGAGGTGGGTTCCTGGGTCTCTGGCGGCGGATGGAGATAACTAGTACCAAAGAGTCTTCAGACTGAGCATGCGCCTGCACTTCACACATGGGGATCTCGACCAAGGAGGTCGTCTTGTCCATACTTAACAGAAGGCCAAGAACAGGTGTCGTTTCAGAATCACGCCAGTATACTGTTCGGTAGACTAGGCATAAGAATAGTAAACTTTTGTATTAAGATACCATCAAAAAGGCTCCGTCTGCCAGAAGTCAAGATTCGTCGGAGCAACCTGACCCAGGAACGTCTCATCAAACCCAAACCCATAAGAACCGATAAGATCATACATGTTATACTCATTTGTCGGATCCGCAGCAATCTGCTCCCCGCCTGATGTAACAGCACCCCCCTTGACATGCTGAAACACCTGTGCAGGCTCAGGCACTACCACAGCCGTAGCAGACGCCCCCGACGAAGACGAAGACGAAGGTGTCCCAGTAATATCAATCCTCTTCAACAAATCATCAATACCCTGAACAATATGCCGCGTAATATGTTTTTCATTCAAATCCCTTGCCACCTTTGCCAAGAACGACGACGACCGCCTCGACAACGACAACACCTGGTTAATATTGAAATTCAAGCCCAATCCCACAGGTTCCGTAGCCGCCCACTCTGGCGACTGGACCTGCGCAACACCGCCCCATGTTTGCGCCATCTTGAGTAGGAAAGTAACACTGAAGGCAACCATTGTGTGCGTGAAGATGGGGACGGCAGTCATGGCTTTGCGCAGGTCGGGCTCCTCGAAGATGAGGGTTAATGTGCTGGTGGCGGCGGAGATGGCAATGTTTGCGGCTTCCCGGCGGTCGTAGGATAGCGACTCCGACGTTGCTGCGCTGGGAGGTGGGAGGGCACGAAGGGCAAGTGAGTTTAGTTGGAAACGGGCGAAGTGGTAGTAGAGCACTACGCCTTTCGAGGGGTATGAGCCGATGGCGGGGCTATCGGCGGATCGTGTTTGCCAGCTTAGTCGCCATTGTTCAATGGCAAAGTTAAAGAGGCGGAGTTGTTGGAAATCAGGTTCGGTAAGGGGTTGCTCGGGGTCGCTCCCGTACACCATGTAGGCTTCTGTCAGGATCTTGAATAGCGTTACTTGGGCTCCGAGCCGGATATCGCCGGGCGTGGTTTTGGGGCTGTCGAGGAAGTGCTCGATGTTCTTGATGGCGATGTCGTCGTGGATGATGGATGGTCGGCCGTATGCGATGCTGAATTGGTGGTCACAGACGTACAGGGCATACCAGAGGCGGACGTTGTCGCGCTGGTCTTCGTGGCCGCGTGTTAGCTTTTGGTAGGACATGTGTATGTTCATTTCTACCGCATTTCGCACGGCGAGGCCCGCGAGTTTCCAGCTTAGGTTTGAGAGGTAAAATGCTGCGAGGGCTAAGGCGCGAATGTCGTCCAGATTGTGGGGGCGGGCCAGAAAGGTGCTGTAGACGAGGGATACAAACACATCGTAGCACTTTTGCAATGCTTCATCTCGCCCGGGTGTGTGTAGAGCTGAGATGGTTAAGACAGCGGCGGTCAGGAGCGTGGAGTGCCGCCGTGCTGCGGCGAGAGAGTCATATGGGAAAAGTACGCCAGCCCAGAGATAGAGTCGCAGGTCTTGCATATACCGCTTAAACAGGGCTTCTGCTTCTGCTAGTGACACAATACCTTGCGCAATGAAATCTTGCTCTACAGGGTTGGAGTTTGGTTTCCTTCGTGCACTACTACGGAGATTGCGAATTCGCGTGAGGTCGTACAAACTTCTCATCGGTGCGGTCACCAAGCCGGATTCTTCTCCAGATTCGCGCTCGACGGAGGTATCGCGCGTCATGTCCATGGGAGGCGGAACGACCAAAGTTGTATGTCCGTTATCAGACACGACATTTGGTGGACTAATGGTTGATGTTCGTGCTGAACGTGGTTGGGGTGATGGTTCTGGTTGAGAGCTGTCCTGCAGGCTGGGGAGCTTGTTGTGTTGGAGGAGACGCTCGACTGCTGAGCGCAACTGCTGTATTTCCGCAGTCGCATTTGCTTTCCAACTAGAGAATTGTCAGTTCTGACTGATAGTAAATGTGGAAAGGTAAACTTACGTGGCATCCTCGTCTAAAAGGCGTTGATTCAAGTTATACGGTACACATTCTGTTCCGCTCCTCAGACACTTTGCGCACTTGTTCTCATTATCCACGGGCTCGCACTTGATCTTATGTCTCTTGCATTCGGCGCCTAATTCCTAATTAGCAAAATTGCATCCCCATATATCGACACTGCGCGCGACTCACACGCTCGAATTCTTGGCGTGCGTGGTGCAGGCCGGCGACCGTCTTCATGGTCCGCATCATCGCTCGAACGCTTCAGTGGAGACATGTCCATGCCATTGGGTCCTCAGCGACCGTGGGAACCGTCGAAAAGGTCGCTTGATGACACGATCGAGCTTGGCTTACTAACGCCATGCTCGTGTTCGTAGCATGTTGAGATTTCGGTTTGGAGGCATGACCTCCAACCGCGGAGTCTCCGCGCTTCCACACATTCAGCCGTGAGCCGCGAAGTGGGGCCATCGTCATTTGACGACCCGTGTTCTGGCCCGCCATTACGTGCCACCGGCTGCCACCAGCGTCGTAATCGGGGATGTGTGTAATCTTCTCAACTCGTTCTAGCGGTGGGGAGATCATTCAGGAGTCCGGGGACCGTGACGCATCGAGCATGTCCTCTGTACTGAACTCATAGCTTTTATTATGACCTCGTACCAAAACGCATAAAAACCGTGAGAAAGACAACGCACTGTGAATACATATGGGAGTCCAAGTATGGAGATCAGTAGTTTCAGTGTGCAAGCAAAGTCCAGATGACTTTCATACAGGTATACATATGGAGTTCCTCTCTGTCCACGACTAGAGTGTGGGCGTCTTGTGATACAGTTGGGTAAACACTTCTGACAATGAACTCATTCAGATCTTTAGCGTACCGAATTTCTATTTAATCTCTCGAATACTGAGCTGGAGAGAAGGCTTTGGTGCTTCAATGTGGTCCCAATGAACTCCAGTAGTCTTGCCGATGCTATCGACCGTTTCACATTGCTTCTCGCTACCCGATTTGTCGTCGTCATTGTCCCAACACATATTGCTGGCGTCGCGTGGATACGTGGTATTGAGTTCATTGAGTTGTAGTTCAATGTCTCCATCGCTCTTCAAATGGGCCTTGGGGCGTCTCTGCCAACACGACATCACTTTTGGTGTGTCTTCGCGTGGTGGCGGACTCGTATCGAAGTAGGGGATGAAGCGGCTCTGTTTGTTAACATGAGATCAGCAAGAATTTCGTTTCTGAGATGACATGACTGCTTACCAAGATCCATTTGACTGTAGGCCCACAGGCAGCGATGACACCAAGGTTTGCTTCAACATTGGACAGTACACTCTGTACGTTGTAAGGGTCCTCGCCGTAGATTTTTGGTAGGTTCACTACCTCGACAAACTTATGTAGACGATAGCAGCCAATTCCAGTGGCTGCAAGTGGAAGTGAGAGAAAAATGATCACAGCCATCTTGTGTCTCAAGGGCATCCGCAGGTCGTGGAGAACCCACGCCGGTATGATTGCAACGAGGACATCAGTAGCAATGGTCACTGCGATAGTACCAAAAACGTAAGCTGCACGATCACCACAGCGACCAGGCGTATCCGAATGCCAGGATTTTTGGATTGGCCAACATATCAAGAGGCTTCCGAGGACAGCACTGATGATGAAAAGGATGTTCACAACGATCAGAGTCCAGAGACTCGCGATGATGAGGCGGTCCATACAACGGAGTTTCAGAAGCGTTATCAAGAACGATATCTTGACAAACCCGAGGATCGGGTTATAGGTAATGCCATTGGTATGCCGCCACTGAGGACCGGATTAAAAACGACTCGAGGCTGACGGAACGAGAGGATCGTGAAACTCACGACTCACAAAAGCGACGTCTTCCCTCTGAACGGCTCCTTTGGGGATATCTTCCGCATGATAGCCCGCATAAGACACCATGACGACTAGTTGGTTAGCTGGAACGACCATCCGAAAGTATTGGTACATACATTTCCACAGGGTAGCTGTGAGCACTAGTACAATAGCTTCCGCTATTATCAAAAGCATATCTTCTGTTAAGCTCATTAGTATATGCCCAGTATGGCCAAGACGTGGGATTTCTACCAATAGCATATTTGCGCTCTTTGATTCTTTGCCAAATTCGGATGGTCACAATCGTAAATGAGAGAAGAAAAGGAAAGATTATGAGAAAAATGTTAGCTGGTTGTAGACCAGTTCCTGCCATTGTGTGTGAACGCAGGTTTACAGAGCGGAGTAGTGTATTTTAATGGTCGCTTCGAAGCTCCTCTTCCCATCTTTAACTTTGTAACTTGCTTTACAACGCCGTAATACATCAACCCATGCCGTTATGCCGTGTGTACATATGTGATCACGACGGGAGATTGTCATTGGTCTCACTTGCCAATCATTTCTGTAGGAGTCAGCCGCTCGCCAGCTTACTGTGCCACTGGATCCTTCCATGAATGCAAGGATTTGACATCTCCACCAATATCCTGCTCGCAGTGAAAGCCTCGCAAGATATCATCTGCTGATGGCAGTAGCAGACTCACCGACTTGGAAGTTTCCAGTTGCTATTAACAGAGCGATCTACGAGGTACTATATCATCTCGTTGTTTACAATGTGCAGTATATAACTACCTTCTATAGTATTCTAAAAGGGGTTACGGCTCTTCTATTAGTGTGCAAAATTTTTGTTTTTTTTGTTTTTGAGCATTTTATTTGTATTAACAATAGTATCTAGGGATAGGTATTCCTAATACTAAGAACAACACAACAACGTGTAGTTATCTATGACCTATTAGTATTATAGTAGTCCTACACTTACGTTAGCGTACCCTGTCTACTATTACTATTAACTAAGCTAGCGGAAGCTTATTTTTATTAACTTTTTTTTGTAGTTTTGTCGGATTACAGATGTTAATCACGGGCCGCGTCGGTCCTACTGTGATGGATCAAACCTACGATCCCTCACGCGATCACGTGCCATACAATCACGTGCCACGCTGGCAGTTGGCCCGTGCGAGGAATAATAAAGTTCCCCTCGTACTTGTATATAGATCTGTACACACAATCTCACTTATTAGAGGCATCCTAACTATTGCAGTGTACTAGTGCCTTTACACTATTGTGTGTCAACCCCTACATACCTAGGATACTTCGCATCAGGCTCAGTTATCAGAAACACCGTCCGCGCCGAGCGCCGCCGCCGATTGAGCAACTGCGACTTGCTACATCGGGCAGAACAAGACGTTCTGCGACGGGTTAGGTCTTGACGACGAGGATCGCAAAGTATTGCGCTAGAAGCCCACGGGTGGAGACACCAGGCTCAACAAGCAAGTATTGCTCGTGAGGGTTGTCACCAACGCTGGTAGAGGACAGGTCCACCTACATCAACGGACAAGTAGGCAGAGGGCAAGGCATCGAGCTTCGAGAAGCGCGACCCTACGGTAAGCCCTGCGCAACACACGAAAAGACCAGAGACACCAGGCTCAACAGGCAAGTATTGCTCGTGGGGGTTGTCACCAACGCTGGTAAAGGACAGGTCCACCTACATCAACGGACAAGTAGGCAGAAGGCAAGGCATCGAGCTTCGAGAAGCGCGACCCTACGGTCAGCCCTGCGCAACACACACGAAAAGATCATCGCGATGGCAAACCCGGCCAATACCCAGAATACCCAAGGTACCTCAGCCACCGGTGCCACCTTCGGGCAAGCTTCCCAGGATCCTACTCAATCACAGATGGGCCCGCCTCTCGTACCAGTACGAGCTTGCCTCTCCAACCGCCGAGAGAGCATGCTTCTGGCAGCCCATCCGTCATCCCAGCCATCAGTATCAGCTAGCGGCGACCTAGAGCCCATGACTGCTACACGCGAGATTGTCGGCATCGAAATCAACGACGTCCTGCTCGAATACCTCAAAGATTCTAACTACGTTTACCTCCGTTATACCGTTGACACCGAGTGGTTCGAATTACAAGAGGATCCCGAACCTGACGAGCACAGCAATGCCTTTTACTCCCTTAGCACAGGCCGAATCCGCACTGATGGCAACATCACCCACAACATCAACGACTTCACTGTCACTAACTCTAGTAACCTCCAGAAGAACGTGAAGGATCGTCCCGACTTCTGGTGGCGATTTATTGTCTCTACGCTAGTCTCCCTACGCAACTGCACTGACGCCATCAATAGGCATCTGCAGACTGTGGACCGCAATGAAGGAGAGACTCAAGCTCTACGAGACCGACTAGCGAATGTTGAAGCAGCCCTTGATGAAACTTCGAACAGTAAACAACTACAAGTTGGCATGGTTAGCAGCAACCTGTACAAGGAGAAGCTGACAGAGATCCGACGCCTCACCTCGGACATCGGAAAGCTCAAAGCTGCGTCAGAACAACTCCCCAACGTTCGCGATGACCCCGCCTTCAAAGCCCTCGCCGCTGAGCGCGACCTTGCCGCCACCGAACGCAATGAACTCAAGCAGAAGGTTGAGGACCTATCCCGCCGAGCCGATGAACCGGAGAGCGGTCCTAACTACGCAGAGTTGGCACAGAAGCTCAAGGAGGAGTCTGACAGCGCCGACTGGTGGGCAGACCAAGCTAAGGCCAACGCTGAGCTCTGCGACAAGTTCAAAGGACAAGCTGATCGCTATTCTATCGAGCTTAACCAGTATGATGTCAAGTACTCTAACATGGAGGCGAACAAGAACGAAGCTCTCGCCCTTAAGGATAAGGCTTACGATGAGCTCAACCTCCAGCTCACCGAGGCTAGACGTGAGACAAAAACGGTCACCGACCGACTGCTGCAACATGAACCCAACTATCAGCCGTACACCCTCTGGCGGCGCGAGCGATCTTACGACCCAGTACGGCCTGTACAATCAAGCGTTTTGCTACAGCGACCTGTAGATGGTACCGCTGACCAACTCTCACAAGATCCTTGCCCGAGCTGGGTACACCCCATGGGATAACCCGTACTCCCGTGCGCGACGCCTCGCTACCTCCTCCCATCATCGAACCCATACGCCCCCGCTCCTACAGTACCGCGACCGCCGCCCGTCGCGCCCTCTACCGCCGGTGGAGGATTCTCTTACAAACTCCCAGAACTTGAGACGTTCAAGGGCAAGGTCGACGACGACTACGAGCGGTGGCGCGAGATGGCAGTGGCCAAGTGTCGCACATACCCAGAGGACTGGCAAGCGGTTGACTACCTCAAGTTCCGCATTCAAGGCGAAGCTTACGAGCACATCCGAGATGTCAAAGCTCGCCATTTCCTAGATTTCCTAGAGACTCTCGACAGCCAGTATCTCACCTATGATCGGGAAGCTGACGCCGAAACCCTCATCGCCGACGGCTCGCTCCGCTACAAGTCTGGACAGAAGTTCATGGAGTGGAAGTCTAAGTTCACCTCTTGCATGCGAATCCTCAAACACAAGAACGCGACCCAGATCCGATACGCTCGCGAGTTCATGCGACCCGGGTTAGCTATCGCGACCACTGCCGGATCTCACAAGGATGAGACCATCCAGTCCTTCTTGCTGCGAGCGCAACACATCGACCAGGGACATCAACAGATTGACGCTGGCCGAAAATTAACTCCCGTTACGAAGACCGCTGGTGCTAGCCGTACCCAAAAGTTGGTCACCTTCCGGACACCCGACACTCCAGGTCACAACAACGCCGCCAGCACGCATACGTACAAGAAGATGGCCTTCGAGCGGTCAGAGAAAGACAAGAAGCGTCTAGCTGACTTGAAGCTCTGCTTCAAATGTGGCAAGGATGACCATCAGATGAGGCACGAGACTGCCCCCTGCCGCGGCAAGCCCTTCACTCCTTCTCACCAAATCCCCGCACTGGCTTCTTTGTACATCAATGCTCTCGACGCTTCCAACGAAGAGGAGCGAGACGAGGATACTGAGGAGACGCTGGACGACACGACTTAGTGGATGACGATGGCTTCTACGTCACGACGAGGAACTACTTGAGCATTTAAATTAGGGGCTCCCGCGCAGAGCCGCGTGCGGGAGCTCAATTGGCGTAACGCAAAAAGACACCAGCGCCGTGTTCGAAACCCAGCATCGCCGTTTCGAGATCGCTGCAGCCTTGCTGCTCGCCCCTGACGAAACGCCAACTATGACGGAGGTCCACTTCGTGTCCTCCGCCTCCATCGGAGGCAAGCCTTCTAAAGACTTCAGCCGACAACTCGAGTTTCCCGGCTCCGCTCTCACGCGACCTGATTGTTGGCAACCGATTTCTACCCTTATCGACACGGGAGCCAGCGCATGCTTCGTCAATCAGTCATGGGTTAACCAACACCGCCTAGATACTATGCCTGTGGCCAAACCCATTCGATTGTCACTAGCCAACGGCGGAGAAGTGGACAAGCTTACCCAGGCCGTTGATCTGCCCGTCCGACACGGAAGCCATACGCACAACGTCCTATGCTACGTCACCAATATCGGCAAGTACGACGTTATCCTAGGCATGAATTGGATGGACTATCACCAGCCTGCCCTCCACTTTGGCGACCAGCGATCACTCACCTTCGCTAAGGCAGGGTGCAAACTTAACTGCCTCCACGAAGGACTCCCAGAGACGGTTTACGAAAACGGAGTTTGTCACAGTCACGTACAACTAGTCAAGGGAGACTACCAGACAGGCGACACCACTACTAAGACGAACAAGGATGGTAAGGTGACGACTGAGGAGACTATGGCTGATATCTACCTCATCTCCGCTGCCGCTGCAACCGCACTCGCAGCCAAACATCCTGACCAGGTCATATGGTTGGAACCCCGCCATTGGGCCAAGCTTGCGAAGCCCCCCGATGAAGACCGAGAAGGCATCGGCGTAGCCGCAGTCTCGCAAACTGACTTTGAGAAGTACATGCACAAGATGGAGCAACCTTACATGACTAGAGACCAGATTGGCCAGCTGGTACCTGAGTGGGTGTTGGACGAACTACCTGATCTGTTCAACCCTCATCTGGCTCATCAACTCCCCGAACGAAGACCAGGAGTCGACCACCCCATCGACCTGCTTCCTGACACTACGCCCCCTAAGCCTCATGTCTACGGACTCACTCGTACCGAGACTGAGGCTGTTAAGAAGTATATCGATGACATGCTGCAAAAGGGCTTAATCAAGGCCAGTAACTCCCCGTTTGCGTCACCTGTCTTGATCGTCAAGAAACCTGGAGGAGGTCTCCGCATATGTGTCGACTACCGAGCACTCAACAACGTCACTAAGAAGAATCGAAATGCGCCACCAGCCATCAAAGAAACTCTAGCGCGCATGGCCAAAGTTCAGATTATGTCTCTCGTCGATGTTGTAGCCGCTTTCAACACCGTTCGGATTAAAGAAGGTGACGAAGAGAAAACCGCCTTCCTCACCCGGTACGGACTCTATGAGTATATGGTCATGCCCTTTGGACTGTGCAATGCACCAGGGACGTTCCAAAACTTCATCAACGAAACGCTGCGCGAATACTTGGACGTTATATGTACCGCCTACCTAGACGACATACTTATATATAGCGACAACGAGAAAGACCACCGTTCGCATGTCCTAAAGGTTCTCCGCAAGATTCAAGGCGCAGGACTATCGTTGGATCCCACGAAGTGCAAGTTCGAAACCAAGCGAGTCAAGTACTTAGGCTTGATCCTCACCACCGACGGCATCGAAATGGATCCGGAGAAGGTCTCCACTATCCTCGATTGGCAACTGCCGAGATCAGTGAAGGACATGCAGTCTTTCCTCGGCTTCTGCAACTTCTATCGCCGGTTTATTAAAGGGTTCTCATATATCGCTAAGCCACTCACGGAACTCACCAAGGAGGGTAGTCAACGACATTTCCCTCTCCAAGCTAATGGACAAGCTGCGAAAGCCTTTGAACAGCTAAAGCTTGCGTTTAAAACAGCGGGCGTACTGTCCCACTTTGACCCAGATTTGGAAACGTGGCTCGAGACTGACGCGTCGGACTTCGTTACCGCAGCTATCCTCTCGCAGATGCACAAAGGTGTTCTACGACCTGTAGCGTTCTTATCACATAAGATGACACCTGCCGAGTGCAACTACGAGATCTATGACAAGGAGCTCCTCGCGATTGTTCGAGCATTCGAGGAGTGGAGGTTTGAACTGTCAGGTACTGATGATCCCATCTTGGTATTGTCAGACCACCAGGCCCTCCAGACGTTCATGACAACCAAACGCCTCAACCGACGGCAAGCTCGATGGGCTGAGTTCCTAGCTGAGTTCAATTTTAGAGTCAAATACCGTCCTGGTAAACAAGGAACTAAGCCCGACGCACTCACTCGCCGACCGGGCGATCTTCCAGCTAACGCCGAGGATGAGCGACGTCAACACCAGGTACAAGTGATCCTCAAGCCTGACCAGGTGGATCCTGAGTGTCGAGTTGCCACCTTTAGCTTCCACTTCGACGGTGGCTCCCGACACGCTGTATATCTGGCCAACGCCCTCGGTGACGAGCTCCGGACGTCCCCAGTCTCCTTGGCCATGATGATGTACCAAGACAGTGAAACGGACGACTTTAGCGACGAATACCTCTTCGCTCTCGGAGACACAGCGGAGGTCGATGACACGTCCGCTGCACCGCTTACGGAGCCGGACACGTCGCTGGACGAAGCCAATATCCTCCAGACCGTTCGACAAGCTTACCCGGATGACGACATCGTTCAAGTTATCCTCAAAGCCAAAGCTGATGGCCAGCGCCGCATCCCGTACCACCTAATTCACGGTCCAAACAGGATACGCTTAGAGCTTGGTGATTGCTCAATACACGACGGAGTCTTCTATGTCAAGAAGAAGGTCTACATCCCCGAATCAGGCACCCTGCGCACCCGGATCATCGAACGCGTACACCGATCCTATTGCGGTGGCCATAGCGGCAAACACGGTAGCTACGACATGTTAAACCGCTGGTACTACTGGCCGAAGATGATAAATGATGTAGCACAGTACGTCAAGAACTGTTTGGCCTGTCGGAGATCGAAATCTTACCGCGATGGGAAACACGGGCTCCTACATCCACTCCCGATACCTGAGCGATATTGGAGTAGCATCAGCATGGACTATATCACGCACCTGCCTCCTTGCACCGATAACGGCCGCACATATACCAACGTCTTAGTGATTGTTGATCGGCTTAGCAAGAAGAAGAAGTTTATACCTGTGGTGGACCTAAAGGTTGATACCCTTGTGAAAGCCTTCGTCGAGTACGTGTGGCGTGAGGAGGGATATCCCGACAGCATCGTCAGCGACCGTGGAGCCCAGTTCCTCTCCCATTTCTGGACACGTCTTTGTCAACGACTGGGTACCAAGCCAAAGTTGTCAACGGGCTATCACCCAGAAACCGATGGGCAGACGGAGAACGCCAACGCTTGGCTAAAACAATACCTCCGGTCATATATTAACTACGAGCAAGACAACTGGGCTCTCTTTCTTCCTATGGCAGAGTTCGAAGCTAACAACGCCATCAACGCTAGTACTGGGACTACCGCTTTCCGCCTCACTAAGGGCTATGACCCGAAGTCTGGTCTTGAACCACCTAAGGTGAACACTGGTCTCACTGCCCCAGCTCGCAGAGATCAAGACAACGCCAACAAGTTTGCAGAAAAGCTAGACGCGCTACGCAAAGCCCTTCGGCTCGAACTACAATGGTCACAAGCTAAACAGGCGGAATACGCAAACGACGCCCGGCTCCCAGCGCCTGAGTTTAAGGTCGGCGATCAAGTTATGTTGGACGCCCGTAACTTCCGTACTACACGTCCTAGTCTATCACTTGACTTCAAGAACCGCGGTCCCTTCACTGTCACACGCGTCATTGACAATATGGCTTACGAACTACTCCTGCCTCCAGAGATGGGCAAGCTCCACAACGTCTTCCACCCGTGGTTACTACACTTACACGAGGAGGCTCCGCTGCCTGGTCAACTGCGCGATTCCGCACCAGCTGAGTTCGCCGATCCCGACGAGGAAGATGGTACAAGCTATGAAGTGGAAGCCGTCCTAGACTCCCGCGTCAACAAGAGACTTAAAGACCCCTACTCTCGCAGCGGTCTTCTCCAATACTTAGTGCGATGGACCAACTACCCCGCCGGCACCGACAACCCATCTTGGGAACCATACATGAACCTGGTGGACTCCGCAGACATTGTCCAACAGTACCATGAGTCCCGCCCTAAAGCTCCAGGACCACATCGAAAGTTTGCGACGCTCGCAGGCAAACAGGATTTACTTATGATTACAGTGATCGCATCCTCTAACAATCCTAAGCCTCCACCAGGAGCCCCGACGATACAGCAGACGGAGGAGACTATTGGCCCGCGTAGCTTTCGCAATACCGGCAACATTGCTGTTTAGGCTTACAGAAGCTTTTGCAAAGCAAGCTAGACAACTCTTTTTAATTACTTTAAGCGACGGAACCTGCTTTTTTTTTGAAGGGGGGGTAGTGTGATGGATCAAACCTACGATCCCTCACGCGATCACGTGCCATACAATCACGTGCCACGCTGGCAGTTGGCCCGTGCGAGGAATAATAAAGTTCCCCTCGTACTTGTATATAGATCTGTACACACAATCTCACTTATTAGAGGCATCCTAACTATTGCAGTGTACTAGTGCCTTTACACTACTTTGGTCTGACTCGTACTAACCCCGCGTATATCTTCATAGCAACCTAGAGATAGAACAATCAATCAACAGTCACCGAACAGAATGCATTCCTAGTTACGTTATTTCCTTTTCGAACTTAGTGCAAAGCCCTACCAACAAGTTTATTTAAAAAAACATTATTGCAGAGTACTAGAAAACATAGTATTCCAAAAGACGGTCAGAGCACTCACTGTCACGATACTCCAGCTGGGTCATACTTTGGTAGGCCTCAGGGACCCCTTCGGAGACCCATCGGCCCGAGCCAGCCACAGTCACGTGCCATAGTCGTATATAGCATCTCACTGAATCCTTGATTGCTCCTCAAGGATTCGTCTTAATACAAGCCTATACCTACATCTCAGTGCCTGTTCGAATACTCCTTACACTCACGCTCAACATAGCTTGGGGAGGATAATCGTTACTTAAATCGGAAAGCCCCGTCTCGGAACCGGCGGCCACCACTCCACTCATGACTTCTCGGTTACGGCGTCCCCTTACGGCTGCTTCCCTTCCATATATGTTTCCTAATGCCGGAGGCACAACTTGATACTATTTGAAGCAGAATGAGCACAATCTCGATTTGAATTGAATTGAGAAACACCATTAAAAATTTCTTACCTGCTCTCATGACTGGGATCCTATTTCTCCGTCGTCCGTAGAAGCATTGCACGTCTCCCAACACAGAGCTCGCCAAGGCCGGATCGATCCTGCAAGGGGGAGCGGTAAAGTTGATCCAGAAGGACTGAAATGTCTTGGGAGCGTCGCTAGGAACAACCAGCGGTAGATGAGAGGTATCTGAGGCGAGGCGGCAAGGCTAAGACCCTGCGCCAAGGCACTAACTTAGCGCCCGCAGCGGCGGGAGCGGAGACGGGTGAATTCGTGCTACTGTAGCTCTTCTCGACTCCACCAATACCAACTCTACAAATAAAACAGGCTTGGATGTGTCCACCCTTCTGTGCAGCATTATGAGCGAGCGTTTTATCGATACTTTTCAAGTCATGGTGAGAATGTAAAGGTCCGCCAGTACCGACTTCTGGAGACGGAAGCAGCGACCGAATTATGTCTTGGGAGCCGTGCTGCAATTCTACGGATTTCTCACATGCTGCCAATTTACCAAACGCCAAGCTGACCGTCCTTCTGCGATGCCCAATGGATCCACTGTTCTGCAAGAGTAGTGTAAACGAAGAAAACCCATGACTGATTCGGTATCCATTCCTGGGCATGGAAAATATGATTGGTTTGATAAAAGTGCCGCGATGCTGACTATCTAAGCGGCAAACCAAGGACGGTATACAGAGCAAATCCTTCCATGCCTAAGCCAGTAGACGACTCTTCTATCGTTCCGACCGTTGTCTTCCTTCTGCAGTCCCTGCGCAAGACTACGGACATAGCCTCATAAACCCTTCCTTGTGGAGCAGAACGACAGTGAAGATAGGGGACTTTAGCGGTTTCTAGAGCATCAGTACACGAATCATGAGCCTGGATTATAGACATAAAGCCTTGGTTACACTACCGACCGGCTAAAGATGTGAGATAAAACGTCCAGTCGCCCATTACTTGGAATTGTTCATTTCATCAACCTTTTACCTCCGTATCAGCCTCGACATGGCTTCTTTACAGCGGGTAGCTGTTTGTCTGTTCTTCGCTCTTTTACCGGTTGTTGTTACTCGTGCCTCCTCAATCGAGCCTGCCGCAACTTCCGTTCCGACGACAATCGCAGCAGGAGCGCCACTACAAGAAGCGGAGACTCTGCAGTTGACGGATGCAGTGGTCGAGCGGTTAGCAGCAGATGCAGCTACATCCGAGTACGCCGAATACTTTGCATTCGACGACAGCGATGTTGCTAGCAAAGCGCGGATGCGACGCGCTGCTTCTGCACCATGCAAAACATACCCTGGAGACTCAGCATGGCCTAAGGATGCGATATGGAGGGTTTTCGACGCCCTCTTGGGTGGAGCTCTGATCCCGACGAAACCTGTTGGAGCCCCGTGCTACGACACAAAATGGGGCAAGAAGGATAGTGTAAAGTGTGCGGACATCGTTAGTAACTTCACAAGTCCTTGGTTCCACGAAGACGATCCGACCTCCAGTAAGGGCTACCTTTTACGAAACTTGCTTGAGATATGTACTGACGTCGTGTCTAGACATGTGGCCTATTTACCAAGGCAGGACTTGTATGCCGAAAAACGACACCACCGGTCTGACTTGCACGATGGGCGCATATCCCGAGTACGCAGTCAAAGTGACGAGCGTGGCACAAATCCAACTTGCTATCAACTTTGTGCGAGCTACCAACATCCGTCTCGTTATCAAGAATACTGGCCATTGCTATCTTGGAAAGTCAACTGGTAGTGGAGCATTGAGCTTGTGGATGCACAACATGGAGCAGATAGACTTCCTTCCCAATTACGAAGGCCCTGGCTACTCTGGACCAGCGTTGAAGGTCGCCGCAGGTGTCAGAACGAGGCAGGTGTATGAGGCAGCAGACAAGAACGGTGTCACCGTCTTGGGCGCTATCGCTTCTGTAAGAGACATCTCCAGTCAGCATGACTATATGAATTTTTTTCTAACGCACGACAGAGTGTGGGATGGGCTGGAGGCATGATTACCGGCGGAGGCCAGAACCCACTAGCCGGTGTATATGGAATGTCAGCAGATCACGTTGTGGCATTCCAAGTTGTAAATGCCGACGGTCGTTTCATAACGGTCTCAGAAGATTCGAATGCTGACCTGTTCTGGGCGCTGCGAGGTGGCGGTGGCGGAACCTTTGCTGTCATCACGTCCGTTATTGTCCGAGCGCATCCTAAGATCAACGCCGTCACTTCGAGTTGGACCCTCGATGCTTCCAAGAACAGTGCTGAGGCTTTCTGGGTCGGTACTAGGAAGTTCTACGACCTTTTTCTTGAATGGGCAGATGCGGGAATCTACACCTTCTACTTCATGGGAAACAACCCCGCCTTATATCTTCAACTCGGATTCATATTCGCCGCAAACCACACCATGGAATCCTACACTGATCTTGTCAAGCCATTCTTCGACTATCTCGATGCGAACAATATCACACTTACGAAGCCCGATGCGCCCATCGCACATACGTCGTTCTACTCGGCCTACCAGGCAACGTGGGGAAAGATGAGTTTCGGTGTTGGTTCTGATGGATCAGTACCGGCGAACCGCATTGTTCCACGTCGTAACTTCAAAGAGAAGTACGAAGAGACCTTTGCACTCATCAAAGAGCACGTGTTAGCCGGTAAACACTTCCTCGGATACCATAAAGCGCCCAAGAAGTATGCGAACACGAACAACGCCGTCAATCCAGCTTGGCGTGAATGTGCCATGTTCTTTGTAACCTCATCTAATAGGTCGGCGGATCATTCTACACCAGAGGCCCTTGCTAAGGCCGATAAGGATTTCCAGGAGAACATCTTGCAGCCATGGCGCGATATAGCACCCGTTTCTGAGGGAGGTGGTAGCTATTTGAACGAGGCTAGTGTCATGGAAGCTGAATGGCAAGAGTCTTTTTACGGAGGGTATTACCCGAAGTTGAGCGAGATCAAGCGTAAGTGGGACCCAAATGATCTATTCTACGCAACAACTGCTGTAGGAAGCGAGAGATGGGTCGTTCAGGATGGTGAGCAGGGTATACAGACTCAGAACGGAAGGTTGTGCAGAGTTTAAGTCTACGACGGTCATGTATAGATGCTCAAGACCAACATTGCCTTATGATATGATATGGAACGCAAATGAGATGAATATTCACGCGCTTTCCCGTTGCTATTGTTGTGTGCATGTGCAAACGGAACACTAGCGATATATAGCTTGGCTCGGAGGACCCCTTGTAACACAACCTCTCTAGTACCAAGCGTATGTACCAACACGCCTAACTGCAGCTGACCCTCTTTTGTTTCGACCAGTCAGATGCAGGAATCCGCGCGTGTCCAGCCCCGTGAGCCATCACCGATTGCTACAAAGCGCACCACGATAGAGAGTGAAAGCGAGTGCGCACTAGAACCTCACCACTCACCGGTCCCCGTACACCTGGCTTCTTAGCTCTGTACAAACACTAGCTTTCCCTGACTTGTTAAGGCACCAACCTGGTGAAGTTCAACACCACTTTGTCAATTGTTTCTCGACGACATCATATTTTATAGAGCTTGCAGCGATGGGAAGTCACGATACACCGCCCTATTCGGGCCCCAACACGCCAGGATCACATACGTCAGGACCTGAGGAAGGCACGGTCGGCATCGCAACTCCGAACAGCTTCACGGCTACGTCACCACAGCCAGTCAGCAAAGTTCGAGCGCCCTCATTCCTTATCCCCGAAAACTTGACGCAGGCAGTCGTGGAACAAAACCCTCAGCTCAAGCGCCTCCAACTAGATCTCTTGAATCTCACTAGCTTCAACGACAACTCGACACTTCATTGGCGCCCATCTTGGTTCAAACAAGACCCCTTCAACAAGAAATCCTGGACACTGCACAATCCGCCCGCGGTAGTGACTGAGAAGATCCCAAGCACACATTATGCAGCAAAAGAGTACTACACTCGCCGTATGAGACGTTCGGGTGACCGACAGCCACTTTACATTAAGGATTGGAGCCAGTGGAGACGTTACTGCGACATGTATGGCGTGCCGTACGATTTTCTATGTGAAGAGCAGATTGAACTCATGCGGCTGGGGCTACCAAAGAATGCGGACGGAGAGATAACATGTAAGCTCATGGATAATCGTGGTTTATCAATAGCTAATCTAAACATACAGCACCGCCGATCTCCCCGCTCTACCCAGAACCCCAACCTCTAGGCTGCGGTCGCTACATTCTGCACCCAGAAACCTACAGCACTCATCTACCACGCAAGTTCCATTCAGTCAATCATGACGCAGAAGAGCTTGCAAAGGTCGAAGCTGTTATCGTGCATTCTGATGGTGCGCTGAAAGTGGAGCCTAGAGAAAACATGTTTATACATGATAGCCAGTGGACGCATTACGATGGGTACGGTCAATATAGGGATGATGAGCTCTATTTCATGGATGATCGTGCGCCGAAGCAGCAGGGGCGAAGTAGGCGGTGGAGTTATCTGCCGTGGACCAATGAGCAAGCGGAGAGCTGTAGCCAGGTGGTCAAGTTGAAGGTGAATTTGAAGAGGAAGTTTGCGAATGATTCTGGAGCCCAGAATGATGCTGGTGGCGGAAATGAGGGAACTGAGCGAACAAAGTCACGGAGAATTCACAGAGGGGTTGGAGAGTTGAATTGAAGAAGGCAGACATGCTGAATTCATTGGAGCGTCTGGCGGAGCTTAGTACACGGGGAGAGTTTGATATGAGAAGCTTTGAATACAGCCTTTCGGTTTATCTTGCAATGACAGAGCAGTCCAAAAATCTGATTCACACCGCTATCAAGTGCACCTTCCTCTACATCACTCCCTAACAACCAAGAGCCCCCTATCATACAACCCCGTAACAAATCCCACACCCCTCCGCACATCCCTCGCAAACGTACTACTACTGCAAAACTCGTCCCCACTATTCCTATACAACGTCTTAAAACCACCCTCCTCGCTCCATTCCGCCGCCCAACTAGGCGCCATACACTCACAAGCCTTCCTCGCCTCTTCTGACCCCGACATATCGCAATTCGCCCTCGCCTTGCTTACCTTGACCAACTCCGGGGCAAACAGATGACCAGCCATGGTAAGCTTACCCGTTGAGTCAACGGCAAGATTATCCACGCCCGATGGCGCGCGTACAAAGGTAGCGAATTGCAGACTAGGAGTTTCAGCGTCCAGCGTGTAAAAGTAAAGACCTGGTTTGGACGATGATGCGACGGCTACGCTTGTCGTGTTAAGCATCGTGATACCGTTAGCAAAGGGGAGTCGAGCTAGAGTTTTCGTTCGTGACATATTGCGGATATCGGTGTATACAACGCTTCCACCAGGTACACCCGCAAATGTCTCAATGGTCGAGAGCAGAGGGGAAATCAGCGAGCTGATGAAGTGGTCGTTTGTCACTAGCAGCTTCCCGTCACCCAGGGAGTGGATGGAATTAGGCGTGTAGAGAAGCGGGTGCTTTACCGTCTGTACATGTGTTGCTACTGCGTCTTGGACTGAAACCTGGAAGACTTCGATGATGTTGCCGGAGTTGCGGGAGTGGTTGATGACATAGAGGGTTGATGTTGCGGCATCAAATTCTATGCCTAGGGGTTGGAAGTCTGATGCGTTGGCGTAGTTGGTTAGAGTGAGGGGTTTGAGGGATTGGGAGGGGGTTGAGTAATCGTAGATCCAGATGTGTGGGGGTTCTTTGCCGGCGACGGGCTGTACCAATGTGCCCTGTTCTATGTCAGCCCCCAATGACTATACTGTGTAATATTCTGGTGTTTGCATCGTGGGAAGATCTACCATAACAGTATTCCATTGATCCCGCTCGGGGTTGCAGCTCAAAAAGGCGATACCCATGTTTTCTTCCACGAGCACATCCTCGCAATTGCGCAATTCATCGCGGAACTTGACTTCATGGCTTCCAAAGCCGTTGAAGTTTTGTAATCTCCCAGGTCTATTCTCCAGCATTGCTGAGAGTGCTTGATATCTGTCGTATACCCATGGGGATAAAGCCGCAAGAGCAGCAAGAAACTGCGTCTCATGGTCAGTCGTTAGCCATCAGTTTCCATTAGCGAGCTACACTACGATGGGTCCTTTCGCCATTTTTGATGCAGTAATGTTGTAACTTGCAGGACTGCGTGATTAATGTGAGAAGAAAGATGGTGGCACTCGCGCGGTCACTTGAAGGTTGCCTACCCACTACTCGCTTATGGTAACATGCCCGTGCGCGTGACGCTCGGGTTCGCGTGACGCCCCGCCGAACACCGAAACACGAGATCAACCCCAACTTTAACGCACCACAACTTCACCAATATGGACCTAATTGAAGCTGCAATTGCAGCAATCGAATCGCGAGAGCTCGGAGCCGAAACCTCGTATACAAAAGTAGCTTCTAAGTACGGCGTGGCTCGATCAACGCTCAGCCGAAGACACCAAGGCTCTCAGCATATAAAAGAGATTAAGGATCTCAATCAACGCGCTCTTAACCCACAATAAGAAAGTGAGCTTGTTGTATATATAGAAGGCTTAACTAGACAAGGCCTTCCACCTACGAGAGAGATGATTAACAATTTTGCCTTTTAGGTAGCTTACCGGCAGCTCTCAGAAGCGTGGGTTACCCGCTTTATCAACCGCCACTCCATCCATCTCATCTCACGCTGGAGCACTGGAATTGACAGCGTACGCCACCAAGCTGACTTATAATATAAATACAAACTATACTTTGATCTTTTATACTAGAAGATTGAGGAGTATGAGATTGAGCAGAGCAACACATATAATATAGATGAGAAGGGCTTTATAATTGGTGTATTAGGTAGAACAAAGAGGGTGTTCTTTAAATAGACTTAGGTGAAGAAAGGAGTTAGAGCACCTATCCAAGATGGCAACAGGAAGTGGATAACGGTGCTGGCGTGCGTGTGTGCTGATGGATCAGCTCTTCCCCCTAGCCTCATCTACTAGGCTAAAAATAGAGCTATCAGAGATACATAGGTAGCCGATATTAGAGCAGGAGAGCACTTAGTTCATGTCACCTTAAATCCATCTAGATGGACTAAAAATGATATAGGACTATCATGGCTTAAGGATATATTTAATTGGTACACAAAGGAGAAGTGCCGCCGCTTATACAGATTACTCATCTTGGATGGCCATGGATCTCATCTCACTATAGATTTCATCGAATACTGCCATCAGAATCGAATACTCCTAGCCATCTTTCCTCCCCATTCAACTCATACGCTTCAACCCCTAGATGTAGTGATATTTAAGCCTCTCTCATCAGCTTACTTAGCTAAACTAGCTCATCATTAACAACACGCTCTTGGGCACTTAGCTATTAAGAAAGGAGACTTCTTCCCATTGTTTTAGGGTGCCTGAATCACCTCCTTTAAGAAAGAGACTATTATTAAGAGCTTTGAAGCCACTGGCATCTAGCCTATGAACGCCGACGTTATATTAAAGAGGTTCTCTAATACTCTAACACAGTTAGTTAGGGGCGAGAGCTCTTTATTACGCCTCTCTCTAAGTGGTTAGATTCATATAGAACGGCTTATGCGCTTAGCTGTTGAAGATAGCAACAGTGACAAAGCAAAGTAGCTCTCTACTTCCCTTCACTATCTTTAAGTCTAAAATGAGCTCCTTTACTATAAAAACAAGGGTCTCAAAGCTGCTCTTAAGACTAAGAAGAAGAGGAAGAAGCACGGTAAAGCTCTCCTACTAGGGCAGTTAGGAGAGTATCATGGTGGCGCTGTTTTGTACTCTCCAAGGATAGTTCAGAGAGCACGTGATTGAGCAGCAGTAATACAGCGAGAGGAGGAGGAGGAGGAGGAGCACCTTTAAAAGCTTCAGCGTAAGAAGCAGAGAGATAATGCTAAGCATCTTAAATAGTTACAGATGGAGGAGAAGCGTGAGGAGCGAGAGAGAGCTAAGGTGGTGAGGGAAAAGGAGAGAGCTGAGAAGGCTAAGAGACTTGCTTACGCTTGGTGTGAGAAACAGTAATAGAGAGATGCTGCAAACGCTACAAAAGCTCTATTGTTATCCTAAAGAGGTAAGAGGCTAGCCTCAAAGAAACCTACTCTAAAAAAACGTAGTAGGCAGCGTGTTATAGCTGCTATAAGTGGTAATACTGCTGCACTAGAGCTATCGCTGTCCCTAACTAAAACTACCTCACGTAGGCGAACGTTCACCTCCTAAATAAATTTAGATAGTACAAATTGATCGTAAACATCTGTTTACTACTCCACTACAAAATCTTATAATACTACCTGTTGTGGGTGGCTCAACAACCTCATGTTTGCTATGGTTATGATGTTGTTCGCCGGAGCGTCACGCGCACGGGCATGTTAAGGCCGTAGCCAACCTTGCCGCCCATATCCTCCGAGGCGGGAATTCGTCAGCAATTCCATATCCACATCATGTAATCATCGGTGATAGGCAGCAAGCAGCTCAACGTGTTCTGGATTCCAGAACAACACAGTTGTCCTGGGCGGTGATAGGGCGAAGGCCTGGGGTGGAAACGCACGGAAACCTAAACGTGGTGAGACCTAGAATATCTAGGACCCTGAGACATGCCACTAAGCTCTCTAAGCTCTCTACCTAATCCTAAGAGACATGGTTAATCACATATGACGTGTCTGTTGTTTGGAGTATCACCGAGGATGGAGGAAAAGATGAGCCGTACACCGACTGTGCAGTAGCTGAATGAGTTGCGTCCGGCTCAATTCCTCTTGCACCGCTAGTACTAGAAAGATTCCGGAGTATTAGAAGTCTTGATTGTTCTATAGCTTCCCATGTAGATTCTGCGCTTTGTGCCGAATTTGGTCTAGCCTGTCGGCTCATCATACCTCGGCTCGGGCTAGTTGCCGGCTCGACCACCAAATCCAAGGTACATATGCAGTATGCTTTCCGACTCGCATAGAAGACTTTTTTTAGGGATCGTCTCTACAAGAGCAAATTCCTAAACAAGACGATCGTTTTTTTCAATTTCACCGTTGTCTTGCCGCACCCATAGCGCAAGCTCCACCCCGCTCTTGTACAGGTCGATACCAATCAACTTTAGGGCTTCGACAGTCCAGTCAGAGGGTTTTCGATACGTCTCAACGGTGAAATAGTGGCAGTGGGGAAGGCCTGTCATCAGCTGGCCAAACACATTGCGGCGCTCTGATGCTGTATACGCGGCCACGACACGGCGAAGGAACCCGAGATTGACATTGGTGATAGTAAAGTGCTCCAGGCATTGTGGAAGTACTGTTACTGGAAGCTTGAGAAGCTCGTCGCAAGCATTCTCCGCGAACGAATGGACTAACATTCCAATATCCATGGTAAGGTGGTTGAGATTCAAAATCTCGTTCAGAGCTCCCGCGGATACCTCGAGGTCCCTAGGCCTTTCCCTGGCGTACCAAAAATATCCCGGCAAATCCCAGGAGATAGACACTTGAAGCATTTTCAGCTTGGGAGGGGACTTACCCAAAAAGCGACCGAAGTTAGACCAGTTCATTCTGATACCCCTGTACCATCTGGTATGTGACAAACCAAGCTTGGTGAGTCGTAGGATCTCCAGGTTTCGGAAATATACTGAACCAAACATGTCTAGAAAATCCATAGTATCCGAGTTACACTCATTCATTTCGAATACACGTAGCATCGGTGTAAACCCAGGGTGCATCGCCGTGATGTATGTGAAAGTGGGTACACTTATCAGCCATTTCAGCGACGGGTGATACAGATTCTCCTTCAAAACCGGATATTCGATCCAAGTCATATTCAAGCCGTGCAGGCTGCAAGTATCTGCCTTGACTGGCATCGGTATCCATGAAAAAGCGGGTGCAGGTTCGATCCAGTGATCTCTTCTTTCAAACTTTGAAGACCATGAAACAAGATTCTTCAACTTGCAAAACGGGTAGGAATTCCGGCTAGCAACCTCTTCAGCCGTTCGGTAATATTGAAGGAGTGTGGATACCAGACTACCGTTGTTTTCTCTCCGTGCTTGCACCTGGATATCTTCAAGATTTGTCGCGAGGGTCAAGATGAGGGCGAGCGTGTGGTTGATCATGTTCGTAGCTTTACCCATGTGAAGTAACCAAGAATACGCGACTAATTCAGGGTGAAGGTTAGGTCAGGCAGTTCCGATGATTTGCTGCATCTTAGGTAGAAGAGCCCGAGATTTCTCGCGCACCACTAGCCGCTGACGCTCTCGTTGCTCCGTCTCTTGGAACATCTGTTCATTACTGAACTCATGTTCAGGTATGATTGATGGTGCAAGATGGAAACTCTTGATATATCTCGCCAAATCTTGTCGCTTCAGTAGGGTCAGCATCAGCAGTTCCATCTGCTCATGTTCGTCGATCGTGAAGCGTAATTTGCTATAGAGGTAAGGCTCTGCGAGACCGCGCCAATATTTGGATACAGAGCAGAGGGTAAGCTGAGATTCAAAGTCGCAGTACTCTACGATGTGAACGTCAAGCTCGTAGAGAGCCTTGCTAGAGACATTTTCGGTGGTGCAAATGTGTAGAATCGAAATATCTATTAGCGAACAGGGCGAGCATGAAGAAGGAGCGGGGGAGTGATAGCGCAAGTACTTATACAGTGTGCCGCGAGGGACAGGGCTAAAGCGTGTCCCAGAGTAGTTTAGTGGAGTACTTTCCCATGGGACTGCCGAATGACTGTCCGGTCGCCTTCCTTCCAATGATCCTGACTCTATCGTACTTGCCTTCTCGACAGGGACTCACATGCACACTGATC